TCCTAATAATTTTTACATAACACTCGGGCACCTGCTGTAGTATTAAAATAGCAAAACAAATAAACGAGTGCGAGTTCGGAATCTACGTTGGATGCGTAACATGAAACAAGGTTATGCAATATCTGGCTCAGTGTAGTGTAATGCCTTTTACCAAACGTTGTGAGGAAGTCGGGCAAAATACACAACACATCCGTCGTACAATTCCAAGTCATATATCGTGTAGATTCAGCTGTATTACAGACAGAGCGTGAGGAGCTTAATGGCGCAAGTGGTAAGCGCGTTCGTTGAAGTTAAGCAACTTTTTAGTGGTCGGTTTTATAGGATGGGTGACCAAAAACTTATTATCTCGAGCTCGTCTGTGCTTTGAAAGGCACATTAAGCTGTTAATCCTGTCTGCAACTGCAATCGTTAGCACCAATCCACACTGCATGCAGTAGGGACATTAATGGGCTGATGATAATGATGACGACACACAGAGTTCAGTTAATAAGGGGATGCGACAATGTATTCTTTTTTTACTTAAAAACAAAAAGTTGATGAAAACGCAAATATTGGCTTTTACACTGAAATAAAATATTCTCCGATTTACAGAATTATACAGGTCTGTGGCGACCTTACGTCAGAATTTCAGGCTTGCAGATACAGTCCGCTTTTTGAAAACGGTGTGCTGATAAATTCAAGTTTTTTTGTTAAATAAGCCAATTGGAATAAGTAGGCATCTTTACTTATTCTGTTTTATCTACCTGTAAGGTCAATAAATAATTTCTATTCATGTAAAACCTTACTGTCTACCTTTTATACAATATAGCGACTTTAATTATAATTCGAATCCGATTCCTAATAGCTATCCTAACAATCTGAATAATTGTAATCGGCAAAATTATATTGAATGAAAAGCTAATAAAATGAATGTCTATTCTAACAATTTTAATAATCGTCGTCAACAAACGGAAGAGTAATTGCTGGATGTGTAAACATGGCCGATTCACCCCTAACCTAATGGAGGTATTGTTCTCAGTTCTCAGTCATTACTAGCGGGCTAGACATTGTCTTGAGTGATAACGATCAAAGGAGTCATTGTGAATGGGACATTTTCATATTTATATAATTTTACAAAGCTGTTTCCTATATACGTATTACCTCGATACATTGAGAGCGGAACAAAAACATTTACGCAATTTAACATCAGTCTCTCCTTTTCATTCGTTATAGAGAATGAAAAGGTTGCACTGTTGTCAAATTTATTATATTAATTGTGCCTCTATTTTAAGACAAGTTGCATAAAATGGAAAAAGGTAATTAAATACTCGCGAACAGCTTCTACAATAATTTTTTCTTAGGTTTTCACGCACATCACTCAATAGGAAAAACAATTTTCAGCGGGTTAGATGCACTGATTTTCGATGTAAGTTCCAATAAAAGTCTTTCGAAGATAGCTCAACAAATTAAATAAAAAATCATTATTCCGACGACGCATTCCTGCAAAGGATGCGAAACGTTAATAAATAAATATAATCAGTGCATCTAACCCGTTGAAACTTGTTTTAGTTATTGAATGATGTGCGTGAAAACCCAAGAAATAAATACTGTAGAAGCTGTTCGCGTGTATTTAATAACCTTTTTCCATTTTATGCAGCTTGCTTTAAAATAGAGACGCAATGGTTTCGATTCTGGCATCATTTTCTTATCCTAAACTTAAATTTATCAACAGTGCATCCTTGTCATTGTCTATACAGAATGAAAAGGAGAGACTGATGTTAAATTTAGTTTAAAGTTTAGATATTCGTGCTAGAATCGACACCAATGTAAGGTAGCCAATTCTCCTTGCATGAAATGTTATTGAAATAAAGTTCCTCTTCGGACGGAATGACGGCTCGGCAAAAATTAACAGTCAACCAAAAGTTGGACAACCAAGCGAGGCAGCTAGCTTGGCAGCTTGGCGGGTAGCCTGATGGTCAACGAGGTGGGCGATCACTGACGGCGGTGGTTGTGAACTTGGTTTAAAGTTGTTTTGGTGAGTGATGAACCGGGAGCGTGAGCGATGGAACAGGATCGTCCGCATTGGGTCCATTCCACACTGGGCCTATACCGAACAGGAGACCATTCCGGTCTGGGCCCAGTGCGGATTTTTGTGTAGTTTTTTTTTAATGGAATAGGGAGATTGGTACGTATCTCGCCATGCGGGACCAGTGCGCATTGGTGTTTGGTTATTTCTTTTTTGTAATAAAAAAATGCTGAACATAGGCATCCCCAAGGAGCTTCACACCGCACGGTCCTGCCCCACTCGCATCCATCGGCTTCCCGCGACCACCACAAGCTCGTCGGTCGACCCCGTAAGGAGCCTTCCCACTGTGTGTCGTCCGGTGCGTGGTCGCCGTTGAAGAACCTTCCCGCGCCAACGGCCATCGGTTTTCCTTGCTACGTATCCTGCCCATTGCTACTTCAGCAGAGCAATCCTTCGAGAGACATCGGTTACAGGTCGCGGTACGTAACTCTAGCGCTGAACAAAACGCAGAGGGGATAGCTGCGCATGGGTACGATTGGAGAGACAATCGGCACAACGCACGCCCACCCGCGCACCTCATCATCAGCCTCTTAATGTCCCCACTGCTGGGGCACAGGCCGTCCCTATGGATGGAATAGTGAGATTGGGCCATGACTAGGGCTGCCATCCGTCCGGGTTTCCCCGGATTTGTCCTAGTTTACGGGGCGTCCGTGGAGCGACCGGGCGGGGTTTTATTTGTAGTCCGGGTTTAAAAATTAATGGCAACGCATGAGTGGCCCTTGGTGCTGCAAGTGTCCATGGGCAGCAGTGACCACTTATTATGAGGTAGACCGCTAGCTCTTTTGCCTAGATCAACATAAAAAAGTTGATTTGTGACATTTTTAACTGTTTTTTTATTGGTCTGTCCGGGTTCTGGGCTTCAAAATCCGGGGTTATCACGCGTCTTATCCTGGTTGCCACATTTTAGAGATGGCAGCCCTAGCCATGACCCACCACGCGGGCCCAGTGCGGATTGGCGGGTCCTAACGACTGCAGATAAAACCGGGACCAACGGCTTAACGTGCCTTCCGAAGCACGGAGGAACTCGAGATAGAAATTTTTGGTTACCCATCCAATGACCGACCACTGCGAAAGTTGCTTAACTACAACGATCGCAGCCGAACGCGCTTAACACCTGCGCCATCGAGCTCCTCGCCAGCGCACCTCGTTTCCCCCCAACACATCTTAATTTTTACTTCTGCGCAATAACGGTCAGCGCTAGAGTTTCCTGCCGCGACTTATTCTTTAGTTCTCCTACTGATTCTATCGCGTGGAGAAATACCAATCATAACTCTCTCCATTGCTCGCTCTGACCTTGAGGCTCACAGACTTATTAGAGGACAAGTTTTAAGCCTTCTTAAAAGGCTCGCAGTAAACGACCACGTTTTGCTTCCGTAAGTCATCAATGGTGTCGATTCTGACAGGATTCTCTAAACTTAAAACTAAATTTAACATCAGTCTGTCCATTTCATTCTGTATAGAGAATGACAAAGATACACTGTTGTCAAATTTGAGACTTGATGAGAATCATGCCAGAATCGACATCACTGTCATACTGGTTAAAGAATTTTGTCTCTGCCCTACCGATCGCGTTGTTCTGTTTACTTCTTATTTTTTATTTACCACGATTTGATTGCATTCATTTAGACACTGTATACGGAGAAAAACGAAATAAAAAAAATATACCCTTTTTTAGTAGGTTACTCCAACCTCGTCATTGAAATTAAAATTGTGATAATGTTTAATTTAAGTACATAGTTAAAAATGATGATTCCGACGAATTGTTGAATATTTGCTTTATTTAACGTTTAATGTTCTCGGTACGCACTCAACGGTAAAATTACCTGCGAGAATAATTCCATCATTAACTTTTACTCGATAAAAACTAATCAACGTAGATAGTGTAATTAATTAGAACTAATTTGATGATGACGATACGATTACAATTACTGTCGAACGCGCTAACTACCCGCGCCATCGAGCTCCTCCACAACCTCTTATATGCCGCAATTACATTTGGTCGTTAGCCCGTATTCGGGTAAACGAAAGACATTACTCGAATTCGGACATCCAAAGCTATATTTAATAAATAAATAAATAAATATTTCCGACACTCACACCAATTAGCCTAGCCCCAAAGTAAGCACTATAAGGCTTGTGTTATGGGATGCTAGGGTAACGGATAGAATACATATACTGTACATATATAAGTATATTTATATAAATACATATTAAACATCCATGAATGGAGTACAAATGCTCGTATTCATCACACAAACATCTGCCCCCACCGGGATTCGAACCCGGGACCTCTAGAGTCGGCGACAGCCATGAAACCCGGCGTACAAACCACTCGGCCACGGAGGTCGTCGTCGTCGTATTTACACTGAAATACGGGCTGGAAGACGGTACCGGGTAAACAAAAAGAAATCTACAAAAGAATCTTCATTGGTGAATCGAATTTACAAACAAACTTACATCCCTAACTCCCTATCGCTATCGGTATCATCCCTATCGCTTCTAGTTATATTTTTACGCTCAGAAAATAGTCTTACAGTAACCTAAATTCAGGAGAGGAGCTCGATGGCGCAGGTGGTTAGCGCGTTCGGCTGCGATCGTTGAAGTTAAGCAACTTTCGCAGTGGTCGGTCATTGGATGGGTGACCAAAAATCTTCTATCTCTCATTCCTCCGTGCTTCGGAAGGCACGTTAAGCCGTTGGTCCCGGCTGCATCTGCAGTCGTTAGCACCCGCCAATCCGCACTGGGCTCGCGTGGTGGGTCATGACCCTATCTCCCTATTCCATTTATAGGTAAGGCCTGTGCCCCAGCAGTGGCGACATTAATAGGCTGATGATGAACCAAAATTCATCAAAAGCAGTTCAATGGATAAGGCTAATGCAGATAAACGTAACCATCGTATCAACAAACCAGATACAGATAAAATAACAATGAAAGGACATTTTCAAATAATACAATTTTATTTTATTCAATAGTATTATATTTACAAAACTTAAGTGTTTCACTACTAAACTAGAAGTGAGCGGTCAGTCTATCGATCTCGTAGAGGTCTGCAGCTATCTCCTCCACTTTAGTGCCAATCTTCTTCGCGATCTGAAAATTAAATTATGATAAGTATTTAAAATAAGGTAGTGTCATTTTATGAGCGACCGGGGAGGAATCGAACCTGTGATCTATTTTCATTAACACAATGTGATTTTTTTCCATTCCAAACCCATTTTATATAGCGTTAAAAATTCAGAGTTAAAAATATTATGTACAAATATAAAAATTAAGGCCGTCATTTTAATCAGAATTAATGCGATTCAAATGTCAAAAATTGCATTAATGGAAAGATGGATGGAACAGGGGCTTAAAATAATATTAAATAAGACTAAAAATGATTTAGTTTTTGAAGTGAAAACTTCTTTAGCGGCGTTGTACACTTTTTTTTGTATGGGTAAAAAATGTTAAACTCGCGTCAGGTTAAACACGTGGGCTGATCGCATCATGGCACACAATAAAATTGGAAAGGTTGTTGACTTTCAATATATTGGACGAAACATAGTAATATTTTTTTGACGACCTCCGTAGCCGAGTGGTTTGTATGCCGGGTTTCATGCCGGGGTCCTGGGTTCGAATCCCAGTGGGGCAGATATTTGTGTGATGAATACGAGCATTTGTACTCCAGTCATGGATGTTTAATATGGATTTTCTATATAAATATACTTATATATGTACATTATAATGCCTGCCTACTAGCCTTATAATGCTTACTTTGGGGCTAGGCTAATTGGTGTGAGTGTTGGAAATATTTATTTATTATTAACATAGATAATTAGTGTGTACCGATAACACTCAAATATTGTCGGAAGCTGGCACACATTTACTATAAACGGTTCGGAGGAATAGTGGGGCGCGTCTTCGGGGATTGCAATATCTGTAAAATGAAATTGATTTTCATTTTTTATGAACATTAATATCCTTTAAAATCCCTTTTTTGTGACGCAGGACCACAAAACCGAACAGACCTCACACCTGGAATCCTACTCTAATTTAACGAAAAACTAAATTTCGATCGAAACTTCGCACTTTTCTTACTATGTTTCTGGTTCGTTTTTAATTATAATAATATTCGTCGTCGGAATACAGATTGAGCAGTAGATTTCCTAAGCCTACTCAAAGAAAGCTAGAATTTGATAGTTCATCGTTCAAATTAAGTAAAACCTTAAATTCACGAGATTAAATTTCGTTTGAACTTTGTTAACGAAAGTTCGTTTCGGAGAAAGAGAGTAGACCCCCTAGCCCCCGCAAGTCTTACGAGCCCCCCCCCCCCCCCCAGTGGCTGCCCACTGAGGACCCTACGGCATAATATCCGCTAAAAACCCTGCGAATACCCTCTAAGCTGCTAAGTGTGAAATAGCGAGATCCCCGTTTAGTTATTCTGCCGCGTCATCCGCAACAATCCTGGAGCTCTACTTTGTTTCTCCGAAACGAAATTTCGGTAACGAACGAATTTCAAACGAAAGGACATCGACGAAATCGGCCCTAGCATGCCCAAAAGAATGTCCTTCACTATTATTTTTCTATTATTTTTTTAACTTATTATCAATTAATTATAGTAAACGGACAATCTGTTTAAAGAACTAAGAAATAAAAGTTCTGTTACTAGATAATACAGTATGTTCATCCTAACTTGTCCTATTTGGTAATCAATCTTGGCACTCCTTTTTATGGGAAATACAGCATTAAAAATCAACTGATAACTGGATTCAATAGGTTTCAGTCTAAAATAACGATTTATTTTAATAGTTTATTGGCTTGGTTTTTATTTTATTTTTAAATGGGTGATTTTGTAAAAAAGTTGTGCCAAGATTGTTTACCTTAATAAATGCAATAATGGCTACTATAGGTATTTATCAACATAAGAATAGAACTAGGTACCTTAGTTAATAATACTTGTCACTAGTATTTATAAAAGATAGTTTATACATACTCCCATCTCGTATAATACCTGTTTATTTTTATGAAAATCACAATGATATCAAGGTTGTACATACCTTATTACCTATAGTAAAATATAGAAACGGGTAAATCGAAAGATTTTGAACATTTCATTTGAAAAGAAATCTATTGTGAGAAACACTCATAAATCAATATGAATATAAGCATTTATTATTTTTATTAATTGCATTTTATATTCATTTAATGCATATTATTTAAGTGCTTACATAGAGGAAAACACTAAATCCATTCAGAATATAATATAAAGTGTACATCTTTTACGATTAAGTATAATAATTATAACCTCCAAATCTAATACATTATGTAGTAGGCCACGGTTCCTCAAGTTGTCCGTATCTCAACGAATGCCTATTTAGAGTTTATGAATGATTCCGAACACAACTAGCATTTTCTCATTGCTGGGCGTTCTAGGGCATTCAATGTATGGGGAACGAGCAATGTCCTTTCGCCAGTGACTCTACTCTATTTTATTTTCGAACACGTACAGAAAGTTGGGAATCACAAACAATTTTCGTGAACGAATGGAATGAGTCATGTTTGTGAGTTCTTTTTATGTTTACTTTTTAAATAACGTTTTTTACTTGGAAACAATGTTACTTTATGACAACATTTTTGATGACATTGAAAGAACCTTTTTTGACAGTGTTAGCCGACTAATATGTAGAGTTGATACAGTCGATTGTATGTCAATCTAAATTTGTCGTTTAATATTTTGAAGAATTGGAAAAACAATAAATAATAAAATTTTCGTGTCTTTGTTAATTTAACATACTATAAAATGTTCCTCGAGCTAAGCAGCCTTGACGAAAAATAATCTATCAAGCATTTTAGACTTAATTGAAATAAAAATCCCAAAACGAAAAAGAAAAGGTAACATTTCGTCAATTTGAGGTAATTATTTCGAACAATTATCTGTCAAATTCAACTTTTCGTTCGAAATTATTGTGAATTAGAGTAGGCTTGGAGAATTAAACTGTCAAACTATTTTCGTACGAACGAATTTTCGAAATGAAAAAGAAATAGAGAAAGAAACGTGCGAAATTTCGATCGAAATTTCGTTTTTCGTCGAAATAGAATAGGCATCCTGGTAGGGAGGATAAAATTTATATAAACAGAATGCACATACGTCTTGTTTCTCTGCGTTCGGCATCGTGGAGTATAAGGAGACCAGGTCACCGTCCAGGATGCCTCGAGCTGGTCCCCCGCCTACCTGCTTGTGGGACGTCTTGTATGTCCTGCGATACAAATACAATTATCAATACATGCAATAATAATAATTTATTGTCTTAAAGTCTTTTTTTTTACATGTTAACAGATATTTAAATAAAATTTCATTAAAAATAACACAATAGGGAATGGCTCAGCCAATGTTGGTCAAGCCTAGACCTGAACCAACGCTGTTTTTCAGCCACCCCTTAACAAATGTTACTTACAATTAATAATATAGAGAGCCTCGAATTATTTTACTAATAAAAAAGAATATAATAAAATGGTAGGAAAGTCAAAACTGTACATTGAATCTGTTTAAAAAATGGGTGCGTGTACTTATGTAGGCGCGTGAGAAGTTATCCTTCTTTGGCATCGTTTAAAATTAGTTTTTAATTGCATGCAAATAATTAATTACAATAAATTAATAAAAAGTCTGGAAAAGGACACAGTCAATAAAGTTCAGTTTTAATTTGAAAAAATAAATAAATAATCAAAATATTCAATTAAAATCGCTACTGAATATAATTTATTAGAACATATGTGATTTGCACTTGTATGAAACTCAAACACGTATTCCGAATATACAAACTAGAAACATGTGGATAAATATTATAAATATGAATACCTATAACTGTTACTTTATTACAAAAAATAAAGATGTGGTTTTTGGTTCTACTACACCAATGGTCAAGAGATGGCGCTGTAGTCTCCTGAATCGCGCTTTGGTTCCGTTGTTCCAGATTAATAAATACTTTTGATAGGCCTTCACAATGCAATCGTTAGCACCCACTAAATAGAGATTCTATTTTGTTGGTAGATTTTCTTAATGTGCGGTAAACACAAAAGTAACAGCATGAAGTTGGTCGCTTTAGCGTTTGTTTTTGTGTTACAGTGATGCGCATCTTAAAATTTCACTCTCATCATTTTTTCATAACGCGCCTAAAGAAGTATAACTTAAAAAAAATACTTGGGTGTGATCTACAATCGATACCGAAGCCACAAACTATTTTTTTTTTTAATTTTTGTCTGTTTGTCTTTATGTATGTCCGGGATAAACTCATAAAGTACTGCATGGATTTACTTCAAATTTGGCACGAATATTATTAAGAAGTCTGGTCAACATATAGGCTACATATTATCACGCTATCACCTACGGGGAACGAGCAGTGAACCTTTATTTCTAACTAACTCTACACGTACAAACAGACAATAAATCTAAAAACTATATTTTTGGCTTCGGTATCGATTGTAGATCACACCCCAAGTATTCTTTTAAAAAAATATTCAATGTACAGTTTCGACTTTCCTACCATTTTATTATATGTATAGATTGCATTTGGGATAGATACAGTTTTACACAAATCGATTGATTGACACTTAATAATAAGTGTCAATACAATTGTAGCGAGACCGGCTATATCCGCAGCATTAGGGGTTGGAAATTAAAATAAAAAATGAATTCCCAAGACGTACAAAAGAGCAATCACACAGACAGAAAATAAGGAATGTAATTAGCCGCCTTACCTTATTCCCTCGAACGAATGTCCCTCAGTTCCAAGACACACCAGAAAACACGGCACAGTATTTTTGTTTGGTATTTCACAGGAGATCCGCACACGTAAATTCACAAAATTATAGCTATTCTAATCACATATTAAATATACGAAAATTCGTAAGACAACAACCACCGCAGTCAACAATTGCAGTGCAGATACGAGCGCCTCGCTAGTGCGGTGCGCACACGAAGATCACATACGATGGGCGATATCGATTTTATTCGAATGAGTCCCTAATATACCCACCCAAGTAGACGGCTTGTATGTTTGTGTACATACTTAACCATTATTTTCTTCCATGAATAATTGCAAAATTAAACGTCTTCGGAATGAAAAATGTCGAGATGCTCGGTGCAAAGTAAAAAGGGATACGATCACGATACAACAATGAACCATTGAAAGGAGATTGCTCAAATTGGCCTAAATGCACAAAAAATATTGACATACACGGTAATTCTTGGCGTAATTTATAATTTGATTTACAGTCATTAGATTTCAACGGACACCTTTGTATAATATATTTACTTTAAAAAGGACTTTTAATTTTACCGGTTTGGAAAACATACGAATCATTTTTAATGGCTATGGGTGTAGTAACATTCAGCCAAAGACTGATCGAAGTTGTTTATATAACATAAAAACAAATCATCTTGTAAAGATCGATAAAATAAATCACTTTTTTTTATTACACTGTGGTATTAATATCCACAACTATATTATCATTTTCACTAGATGCAAATGTGCTCAGACAATTATTATAGATGGTAGGCGACATCATAAAGTCTATTGCCATACATTTTTCGCCAAACACCTCCATAAACACATTATAATCTGTATATATGTTAGACTTTAAGGTATCTATCTATGGGCCTACGTTCCCTGACTATAAATTAATAAATAAATAAAATTATAAGGTGTGATACACTAAAAATCTAAAATATGGTTATCTTAAAAACATAACAAAAGTAATGAAGCTACTGAATATATGGCTATAGAACCTAAATCTCTTAGCTTTCTTTGGTTAACGAGAGTTAAAAATTTTCTCTAATCTGTAGCTCATTCACAATCATCACACAGTTTCTGTCACAGAGTACCTACCTTATCATAACCGGAAATGACACCTGATTTTAAAAGTTACTCTTATGCATTAACTTTAAAAACAGACAACTATCTGTTAATCTACATGCTCTATATACCTGAATCTAATCCATAATTTCGGTACTTGGCTTGAATTCCCTAGTTTACTATATAACTTATTTATTTTTTATTATTTTAATATGTTCAGTGTATATGGTTTATAGAAGTTCTGAGGGGTGTCCGTCAATAATATTCGTTTCTACAGTAATTTATATATATATTCGAATCTAGGAAACAATTTTTCATGATTATTGGTCTTTCAGCCAAACATATATGGAAGCTGAGCAATCTCCTTTTCACTGACTGTAATATTTATAAACTAACATGATTTTTAACAATGACGTACAATGGACGCTCGGATAAGCTAGGAGCTCGATGGCGCAGGTGGTTAGCGCGTTCGGCTGCGATCGTTGAAGTTAAGCAACTTTCGCAGTGGTCAATCATTGGATGGGTGACCAAAAATCATCTATCTCGAGTTCCCCCGTGCTTTGAAAGGCACGTTAAGCCGTTGCACCCGCCAATCCGCCCTGGGCCCGCGTGGTGGGTCATGGCCCAATCTCCCTATTCCATCCATAGGGAAGGCCTGTGCCCCAGCAGTGGTGACATTAATAAGCTGATTATGATGATGGTGATACTGGCATTCAATATGACGTAGAAAGCCTACATTCAGCTATTAACAATTGAATTGTTTATATAACTAACCACAAAAATTTGACGATGGGTAGGCTTAAAACCAGCTGCGTTGTGCCTATTCCTATTTCCTATTCATATTTATTAGGCGCGTCTACACAGAGCGAGCAGCCTCGGGAGGCATTTGCCGCGCGACGAAACTATCCCCGAACGAGCGCGGCAAGCCTCGAGCCAGTTTTCTTCGTTCGTTCATTCTCGTGATTTTTCCCGCCTGAAAGATCCCATCGATGACTCCATTTTCTTTTTTAAATCAGGAACCAGGACATTCATGTCGTGGCTAATATTTAACCAGGCATCTTCCCTAAGTCCTCTATTTGTAAAATTAGGATCGCTTGCCCTCCATAGCCAGGTGTTTACACCATAGAGAGATATTAATTTCAAACACTGATTTCTATTCATAATTATTATGCTCGACCGAGGCACGGAACAAAATACGCGAGCGTCCAGAGTGCGCGAGGCAAACGACCGAGGCGCCTTTGAGCAAAACAATAAACCGACACTCGATGGCTCGCGCGCTCGGCCGAGGCACGTCTACATTAACCAGGCAGCTCCTCGCGCAGCAATAGGGATGATGACGGGGTACAGTAAACGAAATTCTATTTAGTCCGTCGGTTAGATGATCAAAAAATAATGGACACTTTTTTTTTCTTTGGGCAATCAACCAAAAAATGACAAAGTTATAGCGCGTCAAAGTTTGGGAGTAGGGGCTCGTGACGTCACTTTTGAGTGAATTTTCCCTTATAAGTGTACACAAACGTGACGTCATACGACTTTTTAAATCAATATATCTCTGCAATGTTTATATTATGTGAAAAAAGAAAAAATACGTGTCCAATAATTTTTGATAATCTACCTGATAACGAAGAAAAAAAATTAGTCATCATCCCTATTGCCTCGCGAGGCTGCTCACTCTGTGTAGACGCGCCTATTAGTTATATATAATGTTATAATAAGATTTGGAAATAAAGCACTTGTATTTTGTATTTGTAAACATTCCTCACCTGAAAGCCTACATTCCTCACCTGAAAGCCTACATTCCCCACCTGAAACCCTACATTCCTCACCTAAAAGCCTACATTCCCCACCTGAAAGCCTACATTCCTCACCTGAAAGCCTACATTCCCCACCTGAAAGCCTACATTCCTCACCTGACAGCCTACATTCCCCACCTGAAAGCCTACATTCCCCACCTGAAAGCCTACATTCCGCACCTGAAAGTCTACATTCCTCACCTGAAAGCCTACATGCCTCACCTGAAAGCCTACATGCCTCACCTGAAAGCCTACATTCCTCACTTGAAAGCCTACATGCCTCACCTGAAAGCCTACATTCCCCAACTGAAAGCCTACATTCCTCACCTGACAGCCTACATTCCCCACCTGAAAGCCTACATTCCCCACCTGAAAGCCTACATTCCTCACCTGAAAGCCTACATGCCTCACCTGAAAGCCTACATGCCTCACCTGAAAGCCTACATTCCTCACTTGAAAGCCTACATGCCTCACCTGAAAGCCTACATTCCCCAACTGAAAGCCTACATTCCTCACCTGAAAGTCTACATTCCCCACCTGAAAGCCTACATGCCTCACCTGAAAGCCTACATGCCTCACCTGAAAGCCTACATTCCTCACTTGAAAGCCTACATGCCTCACCTGAAAGCCTACATTCCCCAACTGAAAGCCTACATTCCTCACCTGAAAGTCTACATTCCCCACCTGAAAGCCTACATGCCTCACCTGAAAGCCTACATTCCTCACTTGAAAGCCTACATGCCTCACCTGAAAGCCTACATTCCCCAACTGAAAGCCTACATTCCTCACCTGAAAGTCTACATTCCCCACCTGAAAGCCTACATGCCTCACCTGAAAGCCTACATGCCTCACCTGAAAGCCTACATTCCCCAACTGAAAGCCTACATTCCTCACCTGAAAGTCTACATTCCCCACCTGAAAGCCTACATGCCTCACCTGAAAGCCTACATGCCTCACCTGAAAGCCTACATTCCTCACTTGAAAGCCTAGATGCCTCACCTGAAAGCCTACATTGCTCACCTGAAAGCCCTCGGGTTGAGGCCGGCTATGTGGCAACAGTAATTGTTCATCACGTTTTGCAGCATCAGTAGACGACGATACATTTTCTCGCTAACGGGGAGAACGTAGCCGATGCCGCCGTCCAGAGTCGCTGTTCACAAATTGTTTATTTATTATTTTATTTTATTTATTTGCTATCATGTACAAAAATTAAAAGATGTCACATATATTCTTAGTTACAGTACATGACTCTGTAAGGGTATTGCAAAATGAAGTCGATAAAATTATATCTTTATATATATAATTCTTCTGTGAGTGTGTATGTCACTGAACTTCTCTTAAACGATTGGACCGATTTTGATGAAATTTTTTGTGTGTGTTCAAGGGGATCTGAGAATGGTTTAGATTCACAATTTTGTCCGCTGGACAAACCCTATTTTTTTAGGGCGGTACGAAGTTCGCTGGGTCAGCTAGTATAATAATAAAAATGTATTCATAAATAACTATAATATGGAATTTCATGCATATTTCATTATTTTTAACATTTCTATAAGAGTCTCGAGCATAACATAATGTCAATATATTTAATTATTATTATAATTAAATAGTAAATACTTTAGATTAAAACAGATAGTGAATATTTGCTATTTTATTGTGTTAAAAATCCATCTAGTGAATAACAACTTTTTTGTAAAAGTATTATTTTAATAGATTTTTAATTTTTGTCTTTATGTATTCTGGTATCTTATTTGGAAGACCAACAGCTTATTTAAAACACAACATAATTTCTAAACATAGGTAAGGGACACTAGGACAGAAATATATAAATAATAATGATATAGATCTTTATCAGTCCAAACTCGATTTGAACTTATCTTACGTAACTCGTTCCAAACTATGTTTTTAAAATATTATGTTACTCTCAACTAACAGCCGATTCCAATATCTCTTATCTATTAGACAAGTCCGTCCGTCCTGTTTCAGCGTTCAGAAACCACACAAAATCTCCGAAGTTCTCAATTAATTAAATACATTTTTTTTTTAAATCAGGTTTTGGTGAACATTTGGTTCACTGGTTTGCTAGTCCAATCTATAATCTTTGTTTCCTAGATTTTCACGCACTCATTAAATAAAACAAGATTCAACGGTATAGATGCACTGATTTATTTGTTTATGACGTCTCGCATCCTTGTCAGGGTGCGTCGTCAGAATAACGCAGCCTGAAAAGGATTAGAAGGAAACTTGTTTTATCTATAACCTTGGATTAAAATAATCCATCCATGCACAATGGGCCCGATTCTGGCATGAAATGAAATGAAAAGTCATTTATTCAGTCTAGGCTGTTACAAGCACTTGTGAAGGTCAAGGTCAGCTACGCCGTAATTCTCTAGTGTTCTCTAGTTAGTGTCTGGATGTTGATGCACTCACTGAGCATGGTGACATGCATGGGACTAGTCTGTCTTCCTACATGTTTCGTAATGTACAGCATGGGTGTTTTAGTTAATGTTTGGGTGTTGATACTAACGATATTAAATACACCACGTGCGCTCAAAATGTGTCCCAATCAAGAATGAAAGAATGCGTTTTAATTAAGACCTTATACAGTATGCATTAAAGGTGACTTTCAATGTATAAATAATGCCTTATATTGTTTTTGAGTCTGCGATCATCTTACGGAGCTCCGTGGATCTTAACATATCGAGCCGTTACCGCCAAATTATCGTAAGCGACACTTTTGTCGAAATGCGTTTTTTGTGGAAACTAATATTTTAAACCGTAACGGACCCATCTCTGTTAATATTTCCCTCTATTCTTCCCTCTATTATATTATAACGGCGTTCTTTTGGAGGGAAATATCAACAGAGATGGGTCCGTTACGGTTTAAAATATTAGTTTCCACAAAAAACGCATTTCGACAAAAGTGTCGCTTACGATAATTTGGCGAGTGTCGCTTACGATAATTTGGCGGTAACGGCTCGATATACCTTTTGGACAAGTTCCGTTTTTTTTCGTGTAGTTAGTGTCTGGGTGTTGATGCACTCACTCAGCATGGTGACGTGATTGGAACTAGTCCGTGTTCCTACGTGTCTCGTAATGTATAGCAAGTGTTGTGTAGTTAGTGTCTGGGTGTTGATGCACTCACTGAGCATGGTGACGTGCTTGGGCCCGGCGGCCGCGTTATCGTCAGGTTGAGCGCAGACGCGGAACATGGCGTGGACTTGCTGACCCAAGTGGTAATCGCACTTCTTGATTAAACGCTGACCTACCGGAGAAACAATACGTAATACCTTAAGAAAAGTTTACTAGAAAATATTCCACGCGGACCAGGCAGCAGACGGGACTCGAACCCGCACCCTTCGCATTTGTGGGTTTTGACAATGCGAAGAGATGGCGCTGCCTTGCAGACTAATGCTAGGAAAAATTCGACACGGCCGTCAGGGCCGCGGTAGCATAATGGTCAGTGCATTCGCCCGGATAGTGAAGGGTGCGGGTTCGAGTACCATCTGCTGACTGGTCCGCGTGAATTTTTTTCTAGTAGACTTTTCTTTAGATTTAAACATCTAGCAGTTAAAAGCTTAAGAAATAAAAACATTACGTAATACCGTTTTCAACACATTTGCTCAAAAAATGCATTTGCGCAGGTTGTATATATAATTTAATATATGAATACACAAAGTTGGAAAGAGAATATAGTCCGAGAGTTCAAAATTAAGAGACGCACAACAGAGCGTGCGCTAAAACGATTTTACTTAAATTTTTTCACCTAGATTTTGATTGCTGTACCATACAATATTATTCCAAAAAAAAATTACCTCCATAACTCTCTCGCGCGTGAGGCTGGTACATAAACAACGCTAGGTTGCCATCAGATTCGCTCACGAGGAACCCAAGACTCGTATTGTCCACCATAAACTCCATATCGTATATCTGCAAACAAAGAATCATTTATTCAACAATAGGGTATTTGACAAGTTTTAGAAAACGATCTCACGTTATTGACTAATGTTTATGGAGTCCGTAAAAGGTGGATATTCATCATTCTGTTGTGTATTTCAGTAAATATAACCAAATCAAAAACTCCATTTTCAAGTTGCCGCGAAAACGTTTCTCTGGACTATATGGCGTCTTCCTAGTGTGTGACGTCACACGACTGTTATTAAAACGTCAAACGATGCAAACTAATGTCACTTTAACGAGAAGTTTACTTGCGTGTGACGTCATTTTAGGCTCCGCCAATCCCAAGCGTTTTGGTTCACGTGACAATAGATAAGAAAACTATTATCTTTTTTGTTAGCTTTTAGTAAAATTATGAATATTTTTTTTTGTAAAAATAGTAAAAACCCCTGCCAATATTCATGCTTAACACAGATGCTAACAATTGGCACTTTATTTTTAACACTGTCAAATACATATAGGGAAGGCCTTTGCCCCAGCAGTGGGGACATTAATAGGCTGATGATGGTGATGAAATAGTCTATTCATTACATATGGCGGTAAGGCTGCTTAGCCCATAACAAGCGACCTGTCTCTTTAAGGCTGATGCGTTCTAAACCTACACTCTGAGTGTAACTTTTTACTCTGATGTTACAATTTTGGCATAACTCCTCGTCTGTGTAAACAAAATGGCCGTCACAACCCTCTGCTATATTTCGAGTTCTACTGAAACTACCGTCTTTATTTATGTCTTAAATCAATCTGAAATCTTTTCTGCATCTATTTCTTATCATCTATTCAATATCTAAATATTATAATAAAATATTGCGTGGCAGAAATCCGCCACTTTCACAGACAGGGACATAAAATGTACGAAACTTATGTCAAAATTTACATTTGTTACGTAGCGTAGGTTTGAAACGCAGCATAAGTCTATCGGAATTTGTCAGTTTTTCATGTAACTTTGACAGCTGTCTCGATTTGTTGTTATGGGCCATTCGACACCTACGCCTCTGTCGGGATAAATTGGCAGTTTCACGTTGTTTTATTGCAATGAAATAATGCAAGAGATGTAATTCCAATCTGTAGCCAGCCTCGAGTCTTTGGTTCTTGAGAAACACACAAAAATTTACTAAGAATACTATTATTAATGCTATAATGAGCACTAACCTGTGCAGTCCGTAAATCCCTTGACACAAGGGCCAAGGTTCGATGCTGGGCCTGGTATCGTAGCAAAGACACAGATTTGTACACATCCGCTACCAATATGAGGTTCTTAACGGCCAACATTCGGTGTACGTAGATCTGTGTGTCTATGAACGCTACGCCTACTAGGTCGTTGTCTTTGAGTTGCCATATGTAGATCTAACAAAAAATGAAAAAAAATGTGTTATTGCAATAGAAAACAGAAAAACTAAAACGCGATTATTATCTTCAATGTTTTACTTTGTATAGTGTGCAATTTAAATGTACATGAAATATGACAATTAGGTTTGATCCGTGTTACTCAGCCAATCGAAGTACTCATTCAATATTGTCGATTCTAACATGATTCTCTAAACCTAAACCTTAATTTGACACTAGCGTATCCTTGTCATTCTCTATACAAAATGAAGAGGAGAGGCTGATGTTAAATTTATTTTTAAGTTTAGAGATTCATACCTGAATTGACACCATTATCTCAAATAAAATAAAGTAGATGCAATAGGTATTTTAACGAAATGAGAGTAAACCAGTAGGTGTTTATATTAATCTAATCGAAACCGTAGTTTCGTAACTGGTTTCGATTAAGGAATTATTTTTCTTGTACGCAACTAGTTTACATGGAGGAATTATTTGTCTTATATAGAAGGAATTTTATGAAAGTCAAACTAAAATTTATTGAAACCAGGTAAGGCTCTATTAATAAAACATCAAAATTTCAGAATAATTTGTATTTAAATTGTTATATATATTTAATAACTAAAGCAGAAATTGTAATTAAATAAAAATATCGTTTTTAATGAAAACAATTAGTTCAAAGAACCAAAAATATATAGCACACGTAAATATGATTTCTAAGCAGTGACCTACAGTCATTCTATTTTCTTATTATTCATTTATTAGACTTCTCAACCTATTTTTATGTAGTTATTAAACTTTTAAGTCTTACTTTTTACGGACGTCTGTTAATCGAGCCCCTTTGAAAAATTACAAAAATTCTTTGTACGTAACCGAGGTTTGGTACGAAGAAGAATAATTCCTTCATCGCAACTAGTTACGTACAAGGACTAATAATTCCTCCATCGAAACCAGTTACGAAACTACGGTTTCGTAGGCGGCCGAAGGGGAGAGTTTTACTAAATACTATTTTTTTATTTTTTACAATTAATGTGTATCCCATTTGTATATCTAAAGAAGGATATGATTAGACAAGTATCAACTTGTATCAGTTGCAAAACTGGTTTCTAAGTAACACAAAATGGACTATCAAGTTATATTGATTGCGTTATGAGCGAGAAAGAGAAGAAGAGAAAGTGGTGTTACCAGTGAAACACATATAAAAATATACGAGTGCGGTTATGTCCACAAGACTGAAGTGAAACTTCTTTAGCTCCATCTGTATGTATATATGTATGTGTGTACAATATATACAGGATGTAACAAAAATACAAATAAAGCTTGAAGGGCGTTGAAGTACATCTTATAAGAAGACTTCCCTAGTTTTTTTTCAAATATTTGCAAAACTTTTAACTTTTTATAAAAACAGTTTTTTCTACTGATAACATGTAACATGTAACATCCTGTACATGTATGTACATATATATTTTTCATTTACTAGCTATAAGAGAAAGAGAGAAAGAAAATGTGCGCGCGCACTGCTTTCTCTTGCTTATATCCCCCACTCAACTCCCGTTCGCCTCGCCCGAACACACTTTTCGTAACGCGTAACGCATTCGCCAGCTTACTACCCAAGTCAAGCGTGCCTAAAGAAGATTCACAAATATGTTGCTAGCAATATTATCGAAATTTATAGTAATATAAGTTATTTACGGGATTGTTACTATGTAACTGAAGTAATTACTTCAGTTACCCCGTGATCATGGCGCTTGCAACAGTGCCGAAATATCGGAAACTCACTAAAAACAAGGTACATGGTAACAATCCCGTTAATAACTTATATTACTATAAAGTTAGAGACCATGAAAGTTGAAAACAATATATTATCAAAATTTCTTAACTCACCTTCTGTCCCACGGCTGATATCAAATACCCCAACACTTGAGTGAGTGCAGTAACGGGGCCCTTCTGTTCTTTAGCGTATAGTTCCTTAAACCTATTCTTTGTGAGAGGTTGACCCGGTTCGGGTACAACATCTATTATGTCGTAGATTATTATCTGGAATAAACCATAAATATAAGTTGCATGAGGAGCTCGATGGCACAGGTGGTTAGCGCGTTCGACTGCAATCGTTGAAGTTAAGCAACTTTCGCAAAGGTCGGTCATTGGATGGGTGACCAAAAATCTTCTATTTCGAGTTCCTCCGTGCTTCGGAAGGCACGATAAGCCGTTGGTCCCGGCTGCATCTGCAGTCGTTAGCACTCACTAATCCACACTGGGCCCGCGTGGTGGGTCATGACCCAATCTCCCTATTCCATCCATAGGGAAGGCCTGTGTCCCAGCAGTGGGGACATTAATAGGGCGATGATGATGATAAGTTACATAAATATATGTTACCATAAATTCAAGTTACGTATAATTAGAAACTGTACTGCAGCTGTGTAATCAACGAAATTTTATAACAAACCGAGCAAATAGCAGTGCATTCATGGTTTGTTTTTGAATGAATTATCTCTTATCTATTAGACAAGTCCGTCCGTCTGTTTGTGGTGCTGTTTCAGCGGCCAAACCGTAAGAAATAGATAAAGACAATATTTAAGTTATAAGTTAAGAATAGTCTGATAAGACTACAAACCGGATTTGAGTAACGTAGCACTTCCGGTTTTCGAGAAATCACGAATTTCAAACGAAACCACACAAAATCTCCGAAGTTCTCAATTAATTAAATACATTTTTTTTTAAATCAGGTTTTGGTGAACATTTGGTTCACTGGTTTGCTAGTAAATTTATAATAATAAAATATTAATTTAGAACTTTAACAAAATAATTCTTAAGCTATTAATATTTATTCGCTAATACCCGCATAAGTCTTGAAAACTGCGTAGGTATCAAATTGTAATGGTTTTTTAAAATAAATAAATATTATATTCCACGCGGTCTAGGCAGCAGACGGAGCTCGAACCCGCACCCTCCGCTATCCGGGCGGATGCACTGACCATTATACTACCGTGGTCCTGATGGGCGTGTCCAATTTTCTCTAGCTGCTTCTTTCTGCTGCCTGGCCCGGGCAGATATTTTTCTAGCAATATTTTCTTAAGATTCGAACTAGTTCTGTTAATAACAATGTTTTTTCTACTCACCCTGCCTCTAGAAGTGATGTCTTCGCTGTAATTGTAATTCGTACCTATCGCTATGTAGCCGCGAAGACCGGATCTGTAATGTACACCAACTGTTAAATCATCATCATCATCAGCCTATTAATGTCCCCACAGCTGAGGCACAGGCCTTCCCTATGGATGGAATAGGGAGATTGGGCCAGGCGACAGAATTCGGGCTAACGACTAAGGCCAGTATTATAGAAAGTTTCTAAGTAATTAATCTAGCCTTGAGCATAGCCAGAAAAGGATAATCACAATAATATTATAAAGGTGAAAGTTTGTGTGTATGTTTGTTACTTCTTCACGTCTAAACGGCTAGAGCGATTTTAATAAAATTTGGTATGCAGTTAGCTGTCACCCTGGATTAACACTTAGGCTATGTTTTACTGTGGGAAAATATCTTATTCCCATGGGAAAACTGATGATGTTAATAGTTATAATTTTTACTGTTAAAACACAATTTATTTTGCGTAATAAACCGCGAGTAACACGGCGGGGCACAGCTGGTGCTATATATAGCACATAGCGACATCCCTTTCTAACTGTACTTAAGTAAAGATCAACACTTATTGTTATTCTGTAATACGAGCCTAATAAGGGTGATGACGAGGTACAGTAAACGAAATTCTATTTAGTCCGTCAGTTAGATGATCAAAAAATAATGGACACGTATTTTTTCTTTGGGCAATCAACCAAAAAATGACAAAGTTATAGCGCGTCAAAGTTTGGGAGTAGGGGCTCGTGATGTCACTTTTGAGTGAATTTTCACTTATAAGTGTACTCAAACGTGACGTCATGCGACTTTTCAAATCAAAAAAATTCAAAATATTATGTGAAAAAAGAAAAAATACGTGTCCAATACTTTTTGATAATCTACCTGATAAAGGAAGAAAAAAAAATTAGTCATCATCCCTATTGTAATCGCGCTATTGCTTGCAGTTGACAGATTTATAATTTTAATTTTTAAGCATGTAACTGCTTGATGTTTAAATCTAAAGAAAATATAACTAGCAAAATAAACTAACAAATAGTAAAAACTAGTTTTATGGGAATATCACAGGAGTCTTATATAATTAATATATAAACATTATGTATTTTTATAATAGTAACTATTGTTTTTGTTTTGTAAGTAATTTGTAACTAATCGTTATCCACGGGAACTCTGCCGACAAAATATTATAATAGTTTGGCAGATATTTTCATGAATAAACAATGTGTGTACTTAGAAAACCAATGAAAAAAAAAATCCACGCGGACCAGGCAGCAAACGGGACTCGAACCCGCACCCTTCGCAATCCGGGCGAATGCACTGACCAATTATGCTACCACGGCCCTTATGGCCGCGTCGAAATTCTTCTAGCCATTCTTAAGCTGCATTCTTGAGTTGACAGATATTTTTTAATGTTTTTAAGATGTCGCGCAACATTCACATTTACCTGGTGCCTTCGTAAGACAGCGAGACGTTCTTCAGACAAGTCACGTGTTCCCAGTCATCCAGCTCTATCCTGGTATTTGGTATGATCTCCCAAGAGACGGGGGAGAACAGCATAACAGAGAATCTCTCCTGCGTGGGGTACGGAAATCTGGTGGAACAAACGTAGAGTAAAATAAGAAGTAAGCCGATGCAGATCTCAAAACACAGAAAGAGGTTAGAAAGGCCTTGTGGGCGGGGAAGGTGTGAGCAAATGCTCATAAAGCAACTTTCGCAGTGGTCGGTCATTGGATGGGTGACCAAAAACTTACTATCTCGAGTTCCTCCATGCTTCGGAAGGCACGTTAAGCCGTCCCGGCTGCATCTGCAGTCGTTAGCACCCGCCAATCCGCACTGGGCCCGCGTGGTGGGTCATGGCCCAATCTCCCTATTCCATCCATAGGGAAGGCCTGTGCACCAGCAGTGGGGACATTAATAGGCAGATGATGATGAAATGCTTATAACTTGACCAAACTTGGTTCTGATTGCGTCGTTGTTCTCGGGCGTGAACGCTGACTGGTTCGATTTTTTGATGTCGCTTTAATTGGCTATTATCCATTAGGTGGAAGTGTAGTGGGAGTAGGGGTTCCAATCCCGCAGCCTATCTTTAATCTCGGTACTTGCGGGATTGCAAATTTTCGATCCCACGGGATCCCGGTATTTGCGGGATCCCGCATAGAAATTAATGATATCAATTATTAAGCTAAATAAAACAACGAAATAATCAACGTATTCAAACTTTTATTGTAATTTACCTTTTAAATATTAAATATTACTCATAAAAAAATAACATTGCACTTCTATAAGTTCTATTGAGATTAAAATCAACCTATGTTAAACAAACTGTAAGGAACTAAGGACCTCAATAGGGAAGATGCAATATTTTTATTTTTGTTTTCATTTTAAAGAATTCCATGTAGAATAAACCACAGATATATTAAAAAATTAAAACATTGTGATTTATCGGAAAAAAAAGCGGTTTTAAATTGACAATTTAAATTTTCGCGCGAAAACGAACCTATGGTTGCGATGACGTCACTCCTGTCTGTCACTGGTTGTACTTGTTCGTGCTGGCTTTAAATTTTCATACTTTTGCATAATTTTTCGACTTTCGAAATATTTTTTTGAAAAATTTAAAATGGACTATCCATCAACATCATGTGATCATAACAATACCACTAATATTCCGAAAAAAAGCCGTGTTGACTCATGTTTTGTGCCAATCTACTTCAACAAAGTTTCCAAATAAATTGTTTTTGACTGGAACTTCTGACCCAAAACTGAAAAAAAAGTGGTTTCAAGCTGCGAAGAGAAATGACAATTATTCTCTAAAGACCATTATTCGATGCTGTGAAGATCACTTTGACGTAAGTCGGCGAATATACTTGTTATATGCTTAATTAATCTGCTTGTACGTAAAAACGCATTAGTAACCTACCTAATACATACAAAACCTGTCTATAACATATTTTAAATTTTACAGTTGGAGAATGAACTCGACCTTTTACTGTACATAATTCTCCATCTCTTTTAATTTGGACATAGCCGATTGCATTATCGCCGTAAGATTTGTAGAAGCCGCTGAATAAAATACGAAGTTTACCAACTACGATTTTTACATACCGTAGTAATTTAGTCCCTTTCATTTCTACACTTAAAAACTCTGCACTTTGGACAAAAAAAAGTTATAACCATGTCAACACTAACTCTTGGTAAATTCCTGGAGTCTGCTTTGATAAACGCAACTTCCATTTTTATGAAATGTAAAAAAACGCAATTAATATTAATTGGGAATATTCCCATAAAATAATATTTACTTTAACAACCATAACCACAGAGAAGTTGTCATAACAGGAGTGACGTCACTAAACGCTGATTGGTAAACACCAACACACAAATTTTAAAACTAAAATACGTTCTGTTTCAAGTATTTTTAATTCGTAATAATTGTTAAAAAAACAACATTATGTAAAATAAAAATGTTGCAGTGGCATTTCTTTTATATTTTTCTAACATTTTAATCATAAAATTTTCGTAAATATCATATGTGCATCTTCCCTATTGTAATTTAAGACAAATTATTAAAATATCATATTTATTATTTGCTTTGACCAATATTTTGTTGAAAATGTATGCGAAGAAAACATATCATGTCTAAGGTGTCGTCAGCCAAACTACTACGAATTTTAGACGCAATATAACCAGCCGCCGAAAAAGCCCTTTCAGCTTCCACGCTAGTTGGCGGAATTCCTTTTAAGGCGTTGTACGCAAAGCATTGATATTTGCCTATGGAGCTCCCAGATTCATAAAGAGTCATCTCTTTTTTTATGATGGACTCGAGTGTGTTAGCCCGAGATGGCGACGGACATATGAGCTGGGATGCTGATGATATAGTCAACTCTAACTCCTGCTGCAAGGTAAGTGAAAGGTTAGGATCGGAAACCTCTTCATAGTTTCTATTTGTGACTTCACGTAGTTGATCTCCTTGCTGAACAACGTTTTCGTTGTTATTATTCTCAGCAGTCTCCTTTTTGCAGTCCCGCAAATCCTGCGGGATCCCGCGCTCGTAATCCCGCTAGGAGCGGGACTGGAAAAAGACGCGGGATCTCGGAATATCGAGATCTCGGAATACCGGGATTGGAAGCCCTAAGTGGGAGCGAGCCGGCGACATCAGTTCCTATACAATAGCTCTATAATCACCCATCTAACCTCTTTCTGTTCTGTGATGCACACGCTAAGCATAAAGTTTCCCTCGTACCGTATATTAAAGCCGAGTGGGGTTATATCATTTTAATAGGGGAGGCGGGCAATGATTTTTTTTTCATACAAACATTCTCAACCGATGCCTCCTTGATTTTTATCACTAAAGAAATTATTTTCATATATTAAATATAATTTTATTCATTCTTTGCTACTATGTCTTCCTTTTTTCGATAACTTGTGTTTCTACGAAACTGGATATCCTCAAAAATTATACATCCATCCATGTTATATGTTTCTGTACTATAAATGATACTCTTATTGTCAAGAAAAATAATAACGTTTTGTTATGTCCAGTACAACTGCTAAGATAATATTGTAAGTACATAATTGGAGAGGACACTGGATTCCATACTACAGGCTAAGGCCTATATTGGAATGCAGGGGAATCAAACATAAATTGTAAAAAGTATAATGTCAATAAACATTATTATTATTATTACTAGCAAACCAGTGAACCAAATGTTCACCAAAACCTGATTTAAAAAAAATGTATTTAATTAATTGAGAACTTCGGAGATTTTGTGTGGTTTCGTTTGAAATTCGTGATTTCTCGAAAACCGGAAGTGCTACGTTACTCAAATCCGGTTTGTAGTCTTATCAGACTATTCTTAACTTATAACTCAAACATTCTCTTCATCTACCTCTTACGGTTTGGCCGCTGAAACAGCACCACAGACGGACGGACGGACTTGTCTAATAGATAAGAGATCACTTCCCAAAGCTAGTATGAATGTGCAAATGCGGTGTCGCTAATCAACTCACCTATCACCCTTATTCTCCGTGGACTTCTCCTTATCTTCTCCATTGAACTTGTAGTAGGAAGTGGTCGGCGTGGACACGGAGGCCACGAGGCAGTAAGTCTTGGACTCCAGGTGGAAGGTGACGGCGTGCGGGCTCATCCGTATGGGCACCTTGCGCACCGGCCACGACGCGTCGTACGACAGGTGCGTCGGGAGAGCGCAAATACGGAGCTCAGACTGGTCAAACAATAGTGTAACCTAGTTTATTATTTAGAAAACACGACTAAACTGAAAATAAACAACCCGAAAAGTAAAAAAAAAAGTGACTACAGACGGACGACGCTGCGGATGAGCTGGCACGGAAGGGATCCGATACGACCCCAACGGATCCCGAACCAATCGTCCCGATACCGGTAAGCTGTCTCGTCAATGAAATCCGCGAGCACACTGCCGCATTACACTAGCAACACAGGCTCGACCTGGGGGCCAATCGCCTAACGGAAATGCTTTGGAAAACGCTAACGCTTTTTTAATATTGTTATTACCAATGCAAAAGAAAAAGAAAGAGCGCGAGGCATTTGAATACCTCAGGCGGCTAGTAATAACAAAATAAAATCGTAAGCGTTAGCGTTTCCCAAAGCATTTCCGTTAGGCGATTGGCCCCCTGGAGACGTGCAGGCAGACCAAGCTCGCTTTGCCACGGGTGAACGCTGCCTTTTCCAAAACTCTCCTACAGCTAAGCAAACCTACATTGCGCATGGTATGGTAACAGGTGCTATTACTGGACATGCACATTTTAACAGACATCTTTTCAACTTAGGTGTCACGGACAACCTCCTACGCAGAGGATGTATGGAGGCAGAAGAAACAGCTAATCAAGTTCTGCTGGAATGCAACGGAGTGGCCGAATACCGAACGAAATACCTCGGCTCACCGGGAGACCTTCAAGAGGCAGTTACCAATGTGAAGGCCCTGGGGGCGTTCCTGGCGGAGCTAGGCTGGCTGGAGTGATTCCGGCTATACACCCTCCTCACGCAAAACAGGCGCCATAAGGACGTCGAGTAGCAAGATGAAGAAGAAGACTACAGACCGATTACCGCTTCGTAAAACACTTTTCGAGCTAATGTTTCGTTTCCACCAGAGATGTGAGAGGATGAGAACCGAGGGATGTGTTTGTAATGAAAACAGTGGGATCTCTTCATTGACCTCGCTTCGGTGAACACAGTTCTGGTGGAAACGGCTAAGCGAAGCGAGATTTTTGTATTAAAAAACCTGTGATCGATATGTATGAGGAATGCGTTCTAAGAAGTGTTGTAGGAATGTGTGTGTCCGAGAGGTGTGCGCGAGGAATTTGTGTAAGGAATTTGAGGGCTATGGATGAAGAAGGGCCCGCTACACATCCTCGCTCCGGTCATTTTGCTAGCACATCTCTGGTGGCAACGCAGTCAAAGAGGTCCCCCGTCATAACTAACGGTAACTGTCAAGGTTTTGTAGACAAAAATGGGCTAGGACACAGTTTTGGCATTAGGTAACTGATATAGTATATAAATTGCTTATCCATCGATGCTTTTCAGAACAAGCATCTTAGTGTGGGTTACCTACAATGCGAAGAAAAGAGGAATTTCAACGCGGCCGTCACGGCCGCGGTAGCAAAATTGGTCAGTGCATTCGCCCGGATAGCGAAAGGTGCGGGTTCGAGTCCCGTCTGCTGTCTGGTCCATGTGGAATGGAAAGCGCCATGATCACGGAAGATCGGATCGGAGACTCATAAAAAACAAGGTACATGGTAACAATCCCGTTAATAGCTATAAAATATAAAAATGTGTTAATTAAAGCATTTTTTATTTTATTTCAATTAATTTCGTAATTCACTTTAATACGAGACTTCAGAGTTGTGTGAAAATTGTTAACTAAATAGAACAAGAAAAATGGGGATCCCTCCGCGATCCCTTCAATTTCATATTTCGGAATGACATTGTTCTCTTTCATATTGACACTTGCATACAGTTTTATAATTTCACAATCAGCATATAAACTTAGTATTATAAGTTTCAATGGTCTGTAGCCAAAATTTAATTAAGTCAGGTTGAGCAATAATAGCATATTTAAAAATACACGAAAAAGATCCACCCGTGTGAAGCCGGGATGGGCCGCTAGTTTTAAAAAAAATGGATGCGTGTAACTTATGTACGCGCGTGAGAAGTTATACTTCTTTAACATCATTAAAAATGTTTTTTAATTGCATGCAAATAATTAATAATTACAATAAAATAATAAACGGACTGGAAAAGGATAGTTAACACAGTCAATTAAGTTCAGTTTTAATTTGAAAAATTAAATAAATATTCAAAATATTCAATTAAAATCACTACTGAATTTAAGTTATTAGTCCATATGTAATTAGCACTTGTAAGTAACTAAAACACATTGTGTCTATATAGAAACTAGAAACATGTGGATAAATATGAAAACAGTGATCAGAGGCGACGAGCGTGCCAACATTGTTTTTGACAACGCGATCATCTTATGGAGCTCCGTGGATCGTTCAAAGTACCTTTCGAACAGATGTCTAATACTACTAATACTATAATAAGACACTAACATTCATAACGCGCCCGCGGCCAACTTCATGGTGTTACTATTGTGTTACAGTGATGCGCGCGCATCTCGAAATTTCACTCACATGATTTTTTCATAACGCGCCTAAAGAAGTAAAACTTCAATAAAAAAATGTTAGCCGTCACGGGACACCTGGCAGATGTGAAACACTAGCCGGTTTACGATAAATAAATTCGGAGAATTGGTCGGGATGCGTGCGATAAAAAATGACATAGGTCCTGCCCCGAAGGGCGCTGGCCGCATGAATCATTATCGAATTCGAATAGTTTGCAAACCGAAATGTCAATGTCAAATTTTGTATGGAAACTTGAACAGCAGCAGCACAAAGTACGTAACGAGAACTAAAAATCAGTACACATTTGACAATGACATTTCGGATTCGCAAACGTTACGAATTCGATATTGGTTCGTGCTAAGGGTACTGGTATATATTGCATTGCGAGGAGCTCGATGGCGCAAGTGGTTAGCGCGTTCGGCTGCGATCGTTGAAGTTAAGCAACTTTCGCAGTGGTCGGTCATTGATTGGGTGACCAAAAATCTTCTATATCGAGTTCCTCCGTGCTAGCCGTTGGTCCCGGCTGCGTCTGCAGACGTTAGCACCCGGCAATCCGCACAGGGCCCGCACAGCGGGTCATTGCCCACAATCTCCCTACTCCATCCATAGGGAAGGCCTGTGCCCCAGCAGTGGGGATATTAATAGGCTGATGATGATGATGATATATTGCCTTTTACGGGCGACGTGTGGACCAGCCACGCCCCGCCAGAAATCAGTTTTACGTGGGCCAAAAGATGTTTGACATCAAAATATCTACTATATAAAAATAAGTCGGGTTTTCCTTCCTGACGCTATAACTCCAGAACGCACGTACCGATTTCCACGGTTTTGCATTCGTTGGAAAGGTCTCGGGCTCCGTGAGGTTTATAGCAAAGAAAATTCAGGAAAAATTAAAAAAAAAAACTTTTTTTAATCACCAAACGAAATGTTACATGAAACGAAGCCATCTGGTGGCGAAACGGAGTTCGCGGGGTTTGCTAGTAATTTATAATTACATACCTTATCAGTGAAATACAAGAATCCATGCGGGCAATTGGTATTGTTGAAGGGCGCGAATGCAGCGGCCGGGGCGTGGGGCGCCGCCAGGGGGTGCAGGCGGGGCTCCCCGCGGGACGTCAGCAGGAACACGTGCGGAGTGCGGCCGCATATAAACACTCCGTTATACCCGCCCACGTTACCTAAATCGTCACACTAATATTATAAAGGCGAAAGTTTGTGAGTGTGTATGTTTGTTACTTCTTCACGTCTAAATTGTATTGTGTTTATACTGTATGACACAGCAATCAAAATGCAGGTAAACAATTAATGTAAGTATATTTAATAATTATGTAATGAAAAGTGACTTCATGAATCACCTCTGAAGTCATTTTTCAATTTGACGACTCTGTAAATAATAAAACAGGGAGAAAAAAATAGCCCTTGCTGAGTTTCTTGCCGGTTCTTCTCAGTACAAGGTCTCCCGCCGTAGATTTACGAACCGATGGCGTAGCTTCTAGACATTCATATGTGCTTGTAACAGCTTAAACTGAATAAATGATTTTGATTATGATTATGATTATGATTAAACGGCTGGAGCGATTTCAATAAAATTTAGTATGGAGTTAGCTGACACCCTGGATCGACGCATAGGCTACGTCTTACTGCAGGAAAATATCCCTAATAAACCGCGGGTAACAACGCGGGGCACAGCTAGTGATAAGTATAAATTCCTGACATACCGTACTAAGCTCTAATCTAATCTAGTAGTTCCTTAGATGAATTCAAACTATTTTTGTGCTGCAGAAGAGAGCTATTCGATCAATTTATAATCTTAAAGTTAAGGATTCCTTAAGAGATAGGTTTAAAGAATTTGGAATAATGACGGTCGCATCACAGCACATATACGAAAATTTATTACTTGTAAGAGAAAATATTAATTTGTTTCTTAAAAACAGTGATGTTCACACACTTAATACAAGAAACAAAAATAAACTAACTTTACCTGCTACTAGGCTTCACAAAATCAATAATACGGGACTCCCCCCCCCCCCCAAATCTAAGGTCAAATTGAAAAATCTTGTGTCAAAAAGTGTCTTGTGGAATAATGTTTATTTTATTCCAGATTCCTATTTTTTATTAGTGTAGTGAGTGACCCCCTCCAAAATTTCAGGCTGCGACTGCATCTGCTTGCCAGATGGCTGAGAAATCCGAAATTGTCCCGGAATTTTGCATCTTGTCCCGTGTCTAGTAATTAGGCCATATTGTCCCGAATTCCGATTATGTGCTAGTTTCGTAACAAAATAAACTAATAAGTAATGACACCGCTGGCCTGCTTGATGTTTTAATTCTGGGAGGGTGATGGGGGGTTTGATTTGAAGCTTTATTTTCTTCGGAGGGAGGGATGCAAATGTCCCGGAAATGATAAGCCAGCATCTGGCAACCCTACTCAAAAGTGATCCGCTTAAATTGTGGTGCATGACCACAATTCGCTTTAGTCACAATTGGACATCCAAAAACGTTGCATGTGCACTCAATATAACAATATTACGTATATTCTGTGTTATAGAGATAAAACAATGCCTTCGATGCTTTTATAAAGAACACAAATAGTTCAAGATCAAATAACAAATGCCACGGCAATACTTTTCATTCGTAAAACTATAAAAATATTTTTTTCTCAAAATTCACGGTATGCCATGAATGTAAGTGACTGATTCGCCATTATTTATCAGTAAAAGGACATCGATACAACTCATCCGTCTATAGACAGAAAAGAATACGCAGTCGGCAGCAAAGCGGCGCAGACTTGCCGTTTCGCTCGCTCTACCTTGAAGCGTACAATTCCGTCTCGCTCGCTCGATTGAATGTTTATTTACAGACGTGTGCGTGTGTGAGAGTTGCTTATGTAGTTGGGACGGATCATATTTTATTTGATGCTAGTATGAGCGTACCCTATCTTCCCTTTTTGTTTTAATCCAAGAGTAGTTCTAATTTAATTTAGTCCTAAATTTAGATGAACTTCTTGAAGAACACTATCGCCGGCTCCACACGTTGGTCCCAACGCTGATACCAACGTTGGACTGTAAATTGAGTTAGGCGTACACACGTTGGCTATTATACTAGATTTGTCTGATCAGGGCCAATGTGAAGCTGTCCGATACGGAAATCGAAATTGCTCTATGCGGTTTAACAGTACTGAATGCTTAATGCATTCAGTACATTGTGCATTTGTTTTTGAGAAATAAGTAAATAATAAAATAAAAAAAAACGAGTGTGCTTATGACCACAGGACTGAAGTGAAACTTCTTTAGCTCCATCTGTATGTATTAGTGATGTAACGAATATTCGCATTCGCATATTTTTGAATATTCGCATTCACATTCGCATTCGCAAAATCTCTGCGAATGTTTTACGAATATGAATATTAGAAAAAAACAATTTGAAGCAGTTGTAGTTCTGCCTTTCCTTGAATATTCATTGTAACACAGTTTGCATTTAGCTCGTTCAGCATCGCAAGTGTGAAATAAGTCCATGATTCACTAGAATTCGATTTACTCATTTTAATAAATCACTATTACCACTCACAATCACTAACCTCAAAATTCACTTGTTTTGTTTACGGAAAGACCGATGCGAGCGGAATGACACTTCAGTCGGATGAGTTCATATCAACTCGGCAATTCGAACGAGACTGCCACCATGCCATACACAATTGGCGCCAATTTAAAAAATAAATCAATATTCGCATTGTCGGTAACAGACATTCGCATTCGCGAATGTTCAAAAAATTACATTCGTTACATCACTAGTATGTATATATATCTACCCATACTAATATTATAAAGAGGAAAGGTTTGTATGTAAGTATGTTTGTAACGAATTGGCTCAAAAAGTACTGGACTGATTTTAAAAATTCTTTTACCATTTGAATGCTACATTATCACTGATTAATAAAGACTATAGTGTATTTTCAAAAAAGTTAGGGTTCCGTATGAAAACTTCGATAATGTAACCCAACGTGTGTAAAAAATACCTAAAAATAGCCTTATATCGGGGAAGTCATTGACAATAGAGCAAAGTGATGTACTAAAGTTTTATTGAAGATACCAATATCTACAATATGTCACAACTAGAGGTCCCCTGCGATTTCACCCTCGTTAATTTGAAGAAAAAGGTTTATAGTGAGTCAAACTTAAAATATAGTAAACTTCACGTAATCACTCTCACAAATTGAAATGAAATGAAATGAAATGAAAAAACCTTTATTGGCCATCTTACATAATAAAAATACTATAAATTTAAAGAATAAATAAAAGAGAAACTTAACCTAAAAACAAAAAATATCAACATAAAACTAAGACGGCCAATCACGCCCTCCCTCAGCTTATGCTGACACAGTGGGAGAATACTCTCACACTGTATCAGCGCTGGTATTCTGGCAGGGCCTGTGCGAGGACGTGTTAGGCGCTAACAAGCAACAAAAACAATACATACAACAATGCTTAACTAATCCTATTGTATTGCGCATACACACATACATACATACACACGCTGATATAAATATAAATATATATATATATATATATGAGGAGCTCGATGGCGCAGGTGGTTAGTGCGTTCGGCTGCGATCGTTGTAGTTAAGCAACTTTCGCAGTGGTCGGTCATTGGATGGGTGACCACAATTTTCTATCTCGAGTTCCTCCGTGCTTCGGAAGGCACGTTAAGCCGTTGGTCCCGGTTGCATCTGCAGTCGTTAGCACCCGCCAATCCGCACTGGGCCCGCGGGGTGGGATATGGCCCAATCTCCCTATTCCAGCCATAGGGAAGGCCTGTGCCCCAGCAGTGGGGACATTAAGAGGCTGATGATGATGATGATGATGATATATATATACACACATTAAATGCATAAAACGACAATCCTAAATAAAGAAACACAGCGCAGCACTCCGACGCACCCGCACCGCATCCGATAATGGTGTCGACTCTGTCATGACTCTCCAAACCGAAGACCAAACCCAACAACAGTCCCCCCTATCATTTTGTATAGAGAATGACAAGGATACACTGCCGTCAAATTCATATTCAGGCTCAGAGAATCATTTCAGAATCGACACCAATGTCAACGTAGTATCTTAAATACTACGTACGAGTACGAGTAGTCTGTGCAATATGATACTTAATCTATGCATTAAGATTATTATACTGCAATCTGTGGTGTGTAATGTACTTTGTACCTTTCCATCATTGTGTAAGTGGATGCATGCCACGTACCCATTGTCACGTCACGTTGGTTCGCAATAAGAGTGACTTAATAACTCCGAGGAATCGTGCAAGACGGCCCAAAATTAAACCGCAAGCCACACCGTGCCGGATACCTATTTCCTAAACTTTGCATGCACGACGTGAAAGAACCGCTGGTAAGTTTTAATTGATCCTGCTACTTTTAATTTTAATTGCACGAAAGCGAGAGGAAAGATGTTATACATCAATAAAATAATTACTAACCGAAATATCTCATCTGCCGCACGTTTTCCCTCAGCGTGATGGCTTCGTAGCTGTCATCGGCACCTCCCACTACGCCGCCTAAATATCCAAACGCGAACGTTAGAGGGAGACGGGAGAACCGCATTTTGAGATTGCCCCGGGGGTATTTGTATGCCTGTTAAGAAAGAAAATTTATGTTGACAACTCTAGTACTACATCCACATACAAAATACAGATTCAACTGCAAAAAAAACCCGGCCAAGTGCGAGTCGGACTTGCGCACCGAGGGTTCCGTACAAATTCAATTTAATACCTCTACGCGTTCATGAGAAAAGAGGTATGTGATGTAACGAAAAATTTACGGTTTTTGCAATTTTTCAGAGAAATTTTATTTGAGAGAAAAATTCGCTATACCGCATAGCGGAATTGTCGTTCGAATTGAGTGTACCTAACAGAAGATCACAGTAAAAACTAACCTGATAGAACATAATCTGGTCGTCGAACCTCATCAGCATCAGAACCCTGGAGCCCTTATTTCCCAAACCAACAACCAACAACTCCTTCAGTCTGTCAGCATCAGGGTTCACGGCTGAAGTATTCATGTCTTCGCTTTCGGCAGCCTGTGTGATGTTCGGTACTGATTCCAGACTGTCAGCTAGTACCTGGAATTTGTTAACGATTTTAGTATTTCTTTCAATTTTATATAACGATGATGATACAAAGACATTCGAGTATGGAGTCCTTTTCATTCAAATTAATATTGTCGTTTGACTAAGGTACACTTTATAACTATTAACGGGATCGTTCCCATGTACCTTGTTTTTTATAAGCTCCGATATTTCGGCACTGTTTAAAGCGCCATGATCATGGAGTAACTGAACTAGCGGTATCGAGCGCGCGCAAAGGTCTGCGCGAGCCTATTGCACCACGTTTATGCGGTCGCCTGCGCAATAACAGGGTCCCCTCCGTGGGCGCCGGAGGCGAAAGCACTGTCCCGCCTATATTGGGAAAGGGCGGAGGCCCGTCAGCGAGGGGAGCGATTTATTTATTTTATTTATTTATTTAGGCATGCTAACAGTCACACATATTAATAATACATTAATGAATAGGTCGGATACTATACAGTTTTCTTATATGCAGACCAATTACAAGCATACACAACAATCACAATAATGCAACTGATTGACCTGATCACAAATCTATGTATTTTAAACGACTATATTATGGAAAGATTGATGGACCGCGCTAATTTATTCAAATACATACATACAAAATAAGAACAGATTGTTTCGCTATTTATTTATTTGTTGTACCAAAGTGTTTCAGCAACTTTCCCCTAAAGGATACAAGACCATCACTAAATATATCTATGCTTGGATCTTTGGCGCCAATCTCATTATATGCTGAGCAAATTCTATCTAGAGGTTCATGCAAACCCAAATTTGTCCGATGGCGAGGGATACAGAATTTTTTTTGAATAGCGTGACGTGGGTAATTGTACGGAACATTTAACTTGATGGAAGATAAGCGATTAGCACCGGAGGAGGTCATCGCCCACAGGAGGCTTCTGGAAGAGTGGACCGAGGAGCTCGGGACGTAGTAATATGGGACCAGGACCCTGGAGGCGCTGCGACCAGTGCTCGACCAATGTAGGGAGAGGAGGCATGGGTCGCTGACCTTCCGTCCGGTGCAGGTGCTGTCAGGGCAGCCACCTGCACCGCATACGGAGGGAAGCGACTTCGTCATGTCATCATTGCGGCGCCGTCGAGGACACGGCGCAGCACAACCTCGAGGAGTGCCCGTCGCGGTCTCGGCAGCGCCATGATATGGTCATGGCAATAGGAAGGGATCTCTCGTCGCCCAGCGTCGTTGGAGCGACGCTGGACAGCGACAGATCCTGGACTGCGGTAGTCTCCTTCTGTGAGGAAGTCATCCTACAGAAGGAGACAGCGACGCGGGCCCGCGAGGGGGACGCCTGGGTGCTCCCCCCATCCCCCTGACCGCCGGGAGGAGGAGGAACAGGTAACGTGGAGAGTCACCAGGATCCCACGAAACCCGTTCCGGCAGGCGAGGGAGCACTGTTGGGTTTTTAGTGGGTAGTGTAACGTCCGTGATGTTGCAACCTCCTTGTTTAGGTAAACTCTTTGCTTTTGCAATGCCTACGGTCGGCAGTTATATTAAAAAGTTAATGTCATGATTTTAAGATTTGAAATAAGGAATCGTCTGTCTTTTGATGGAAGATTCCATTCAAGATTAGATCTTCAGGCACCAAGAAAACCTCTCGTATTTAGATAAAATTCTTTATATTAGCCTGAACGATAATATAAAATAAATAACTTATCTCTACCAGTATCTTTTAATTAATAAGCACGTCCCCAGGTTCTATCCATTATGGGTAGAACTCCGTAATGCCCCCCCCCCCCCCTCGTCCCGAGCAGCCGCTGAACCAGAGCGGGCTGAGCGGGATTTGGGGGAGGAGTCCCACATAACCCCGCCTCTCACCCAGGAGCGGAGTATGCGTCAAGCATTTTCCCAACAATTAAAAAAAAATAAAAAAGGTGTATCGATCGCAATAAAAGATGACGTCAGAGGGTAGACCGATATGTCTGCCGATAACATCCACCCGCAATTACTTCGGTTACTCCGCGATCATGGCGCTTGCAACGGTGATGAAAAATCGGAGACTTTACACGTCACACAGTAGAACATCATGGAACCGAGCGTTTTGGCAGTAAATTCAAAACCATTAAAAATAAATTCAACTTTCATTCATACATTGGTTTAATGGTGAAAAAGAGACATTCATTTCTTTTTATTTTTCTGTTAAATCGTTTGTCCCAATCTTTAAATATAAGCAGTTTTAAAAAAAATGTAAAATAACCTATTACGACTATTATAACGTTAGTTATATTATGAAAAATCTTGGTATTTCATTTCTTTCGATTATCACAAGTACTTGTAGCAGATAGTATTTACAGAATCTAAATTTAAACAGCGTACAAACTTAAAGTTTCACCGAAGGCCAACAGTTAGAAACAAAGCTATAGATTTCCATGAAATAAATCAGTTATAAAAAAAAACACTTCTAGGTTTTTTTTTGTTTGTTTCTTGCCGATTATTCGCTGTGTTAGATCTCTTAAGTGCTTGATGTAGCGCTTGTAGCGGCATTAGTATCGATTCTGGCTTGTTTCTCTGAACCTTTAATTAAATTTAACAACAGTTTATCCTTGTCACTCTCTTTACTTTATGGAAAGGAGAGACTGATGTTAAATTTAGTTTTAAGTTTAGAGGAGTTCGATGGCGCGGATGGTTAGCGAGTTCGGCTGCGATCGTTGAAGTTAAGCAACTTTCGCAGTGGTCGGTCATTGGATGGGTGACCAAAAATATTCTTTCTCGAGTTCCTCCGTGCTTCGGAAGGCACGTTAAGCCGTTGGTCCCGGCTGCATCTGCAGTCGTTAGCACCCACCAATCCACGCGCGTGGTGGTTCATGGCCCAATCTCCCTATTCCATCCATAGGGAGGGCCTGTGCCCCAGCAGTGTGGGCATTAATAGGCTGATAATTAGAAAATCATGCCAGAACAAAAACATTATCAGAATAAATAATTTGTAAGTTGAACTAAATAACTATCTGGTCCTTCGAGCCGCATATAATCCAAAGACATTTCAATTCACATTTAAGCAAATCTAGCAGATTAATTCTTAAAATAACACATAATAACTCATATTTAAGACATTTCTACTTACCCTATGTCCACCGCAAGCGTCTCTCACCAGGAAACTCAGCCTCATCTCTGGTAGAGAATACAACTCTAGGTTCCCATTGGTTCTGACCACAAACAACCAGTATGTAGGCTTTACTTCAACTAAATGGCGGCGCCACCATCGAGACATGCGGCGGGGAACCCCCGGGTTCTTTGATTGTTCCGCTAACATTATCTGTTGGAGTGGTCGATGTTGATTATTTTATTTATTTATTGTTTACTAGCAACACTAACATTGCGTTTATCATACATGGATATACATATTTTATATTGGTTGTTTACTTGTAAACACAACAATTATAAGTGTCGACGGCATTCATAATTATAATCTAACAAATATAATTTTAAGAATTGAATTTTAACTCCTAGTATTACATATCAAATGAAATTAAATTAGATTGTAACACAAAAACAATCTTTGTCACAGATTACACAACTTCCGTTTAAATGTTGACAAATTATCACAAAATACATCAATACCAGCATTTATAGTCATTGGGTATTGTGATACTCTTGCATATTACACTACATTCTAACACAAACTTGTTGAAATAAATCAAAGAATAATCTGCTCATTGTAAACATCAAGTGTGACAGACTTGTGTCCTTTCAACTTCTCTAAATAGCCAGTAGTTATGTCTGAAATCTAAGATTGTGGATTTATATGAGTACGTCTGATCTCCGCCGAAGATTTAGCAAATTAGAAAAAAGTGTGAGCAGCTCGCTGGCGCAGGTGATAAGCGCGTCCGGCTGCGATAATTGAAGTTAAGCAACTTTGGCAGTGGTCGGTCATTGGATGGGTGACCAAAAATCTTTTATCTCGAGTCCCTCCGTGCTTCGGAAGGCACGTTAAGCCGTTGGTCCCGGCTGCATCTGCATTCGTTAGCACCCGCCAATCCGCACTGGGCCCGCACAGCGGGTCATGGCCCACAATCTCCCTACTCCATCGATAGGGAAGGCCTGTGCCCCAGCAGTAGGGACATTAATAGGCTGACGGTGATGAATAAAGCTTGATGCCAATATTATTAAAGGAAAATTTACTAATTTTAAACATGCCTGCCAGCCTGCAAGCGAATCACACCTCTATCTCAAACATCAAACAAGTCATTATTGCCTGAAATCATTTAGACTACAAATACTCACACTAGCCATGGACGCGGGTGTTTGGTCTCCTCCGTACAGAAGTTCATCGTCATCGTTTAATTCGTAAATGGCGCCTGGTTTTAAGCCCTCTGCTTTCACGTTCTTAGTCTTGCCTTGAAACTCACCTTTCACCTGTGTCGATGAATCAACAATAAACAGTATAAAGAAGGAACTCGATGGTGTGGGTGGTTAGCGCATTCGGCCTGCGATCGTGAAAGTTAAGCAACTTTCGCAATGGTCGGTATTTGGATGGGTGACCAAAAATTTAGTGTCTCTTACTCTTCCGTGCTTCGGAAGGCACATTAAGCCGTCGGTCCCGGCTGTATCTATCTGCAGTTGTTAGCACCCGCCAATCCGCACTGGGCCCGCGTGGTGGATCATTGCCCATTCTCCTTATTCCATCCATAAGGAAAGCCTGTGTCCCAGCAGTGAGGGCATTTATAGGCTAATGGTAATGATGTTTATAACGAATTAATAAAAAAAATATGTCAAAATGCAATACTATTGAACCACTATCGGGACACTAATTTTATGATATTGTCACAAACGCTCTCGAAACAAAACCGCGCAAATTACTAAAGACAGAATTTACCAAAACACCGCGGGTCGCGATAAAGGTCGAGTGTTGCGGCTCATTCTAATGTGAGATTTATGCAGTGCGGCGTAAGGGAGAAAGTGCAACGACATCTGCACTTGTTTACAACTTATGTGCGTTACCTGCGTAGGTATAATAAGGTACTACGCACTTGCGGGTGCTAGTTAACACTCAATCTAACGGGACTTTTCTAGAATGCGTCGATTGGCGTATATAAGCGCGAACGGCGGCGCGCAGAGACAGTTGAGTTTCAACAGCGATTTCGGAACGAATGCAAAGGCGATAGTCGGAGAGCCGGCCGTATAAAAGTCCTATGGATCAGATACATGAATCATTTTTGGGGTATGAACAATAAAGCCATAGGTCTAGAGGTCGACACCCCTGAAGTTGCTTGATTTTGCCCGCATGCAAAATTATGACGTCACTTCCGGTTTTTATTTTAGGTGTAATTATAATTTATGAAATACATCAAGAAAATTTATGTCGAACGAAAGTTTTTGATGAGTAGAATAGAAACGTCAAGGGTCGACAAGCGCTATTTATTCGCTACCTTGAGTCGACCACCATTGGAAATATTTTTTTTTTAATTTATCTTAAGCCATCGAATACATGGATTTGCTTACGATTTTCTGAAACTAGAACCTCTCAAATGACTAAAAAAAATTGGTCGACACCTTTCATTTGCCCGGATCTGACTGTCGACTTAGTTTGAAGAATTAAAGAGCCTATGCTTATACATTTTATCTCTATGTATGTTTCATTATTTAATTATCTGCATATCTATTTCAAATACATTGATAATTTTTTTTTCCAATTATTTCTTTGACTCTAACATTACTAAAAAAAATTGGTCGACACCTTTTATTTGCCCGGATCTAACTGTCGACTTAGTTTGAAGAATTAAAGAGCCTATGCTTATACGTTTCATGTCTATACATATTCAATTATCTACATATTTTTTCTAAATACATTAATAATCTTTTTTTTTTCAATTAATTCTAACATAACTACAATTTTTTTTAAATACTTACTATACATTTTTCTATTTCTTGTTAAAATTTAAGTCCTTAAGAATGTATTTTGTATTTCTACCTTAAGTCCAGGTAGCCGTTAACGTTTCTTCTTTTGTACCTGTAACGTAAGCTAGGTCCGGAATTACTACGACATTAACAAAAGAACACAAGTAGGTAGGGAGGACCCAATATTTTTCAGCCCTAAGTTTGGGACAGTAGGTATAACTTCTAAGTCATTATCAGCCTAGACGTCTATGGGGACTTTTTTGCCCAAATCTAAAATGAAGTAAAACGAGGTTGGGTAGAGGAATACCCAAACGACCGTGCGTTCTAAAAGTTCTTCCTGCTTATGAAATACAATTTAAAATGGCTTGTCTTGACTTCTTAATAATTCTGTATTATATTCCCGACCTCTTTCAACTGTAGCAGCATTCGTATTCATCGACCAAATAAACAAAAAACCGTTGACATCTGTCGGCCAGTCTCGGCTTCGTGTCGTCTCAAGACGACGTACGTGAGTGAGGTAGATAATTGAATATGTATAGACATGAAACGTATAAGCATAGGCTCTTTAATTCTTCAAACTAAGTCGACAGTTAGATCCGGGCAAATAAAAGGTGTCGACCAATTTTTTTTAGTAATGTTAGAGTCAAAGAAATAATTGGAAAAAAAAATTATCAATGTATTTGAAATAGATATGCAGATAATTAAATAATGAAACATACATAGAGATAAAATGTATAAGCATAGGCTCTTTAATTCTTCAAACTAAGTCGACAGTCAGATCCGGGCAAATGAAAGGTGTCGACCAATTTTTTTTAGTCATTTGAGAGGTTCTAGTTTCAGAAAATCGTAAGCAAATCCATGTATTCGATGGCTTAAGATAAATTAAAAAAAAAATATTTCCAATGGTGGTCGACTCAAGGTAGCGAATAAATAGCGCTTGTCGACCCTTGACGTTTCTATTCTACTCATCAAAAACTTTCGTTCGACATAAATTTTCTTGATGTATTTCATAAATTATAATTACACCTAAAATAAAAACCGGAAGTGACGTCATAATTTTGCATGCGGGCAAAATCAAGCAACTTCAGGGGTGTCGACCTCTAGACCTATGGCTTTATTGTTCATACCCCAAAAATGATTCATGTATCTGATCCATAGGACTTTTATACGGCCGGCTCTCGGACTACGATCAAAGTGCAAGTTAAGTGTTCAAGTGCGATTACATAGACTTGTATAGTGAAGTACAGTGTTTAGTGAGTGTATTTTGATTAACATTGTGTGTTAACTGTTTGGTGTACAAAGTTCTGTCAAGCGTGAACCGGCATATAATTTCTAACTCCATCCCGACACGTAGCAATATCTTTGCAGAATCGACACCCAAATGTTGCTAAAAACCAAACGAATATGGTGATTTTTTACTAGAATTTGATCATTGGAAATTATTGTAAGACACTGTAATTATAAATACATTTTGTCTTAAAACATGCTGACAGACATTGAAATTCGTACTATATTATAATTTCATACCTATATAAAAAGACAATAGGTAATGGCTAATGAAAAAGCTGGTCTCAAGTCTATTTTACATGCAACAGACAATTTCACACTCAAATATGTATAAACAGAAGAGGTCTCGTTTAAATATATTAGTAGTATACTAGCAAACCAGTGAACCAAATGTTCACCAAAACCTGATTTCTCGAAAACCGGAAGTGCTACGTTACTCAAATCCGGTTTGTAGTCTTACCAGACTATTCTTAACTTATAACTTAAATATTCTCTTTATCTATCTCTTACGGTTTGGCCGCTGAAACGGCACCACAGACAGACGGACTTGTCTAATAGATTAGAGATAGTATAGATTTATACTATAAATTACATTTTTCAAAATAATAGGGATGAATAAGGTAAAGTAAACGAAATTCATTTTAATTTTAATAATCCGTCAGAAAGATTATCAAAAAATAATGGAAGCAATAATAAAGCTCGTCAAACCTCCACTTTGACTACACTAGGGACGACATATACACAATTAAAAATTTTTACGAAAAGGGAACATCATGCGACATTTTTAATCAATATATGACGCTAATGTTTTGTTTAAATTATTAAAAATAAAATACGTTACTAATACGTTTTTATAATCTATCCGATAAGACAAAGAGAAAAATTTGGTCATAACCCCTATTTAGATACCTGTGTAGGCGTGGGGTCTGGTGGGGCCAGTAGCCCACTGAGGTCGCGGTAGGGCACGGCGCGGGCCAGGGCCGGCCGCTGGGGCACGGCCTGGCGGGTCGGCGCCAAGCGGGCCGTCAGCTGTACACACGCCATCATATATTTTTTTTAACACACACCAATGAGGGTAACCATCTTGTCTCACCAGATGGCGCCACTGTTGAGTGGGGTTCTGCGTTGTAACTTTTAAAGTTTATTTAGTAAAGAGATGACCTCCGTGGTCGAGTGGTTTGTACGCCCGGGTTTCATGGTGTCACCGGCTCGAGAGGTCCCGGGTTCAAATCCCGGTGGGGGCAGATGTTTGTGTGATGAATACGAGCATTTGTACTCCAGTCATAGATGTTTAATATGTATTTCAATATACTTATATATGTACTGTATATGTATACTATCCGTTACCCTAGTATCCCATAACACAAGCCTTACAGTGCTTACTTTGGGGCTAGGCTAATTGGTGTGAGTGTTGGAAATATTTATTTATTTATAATTCATACACACGTGAGATCAGTTTTCATTCATATCAATTTTAATACAAAAAAACCGTATCCAAAACATAATCGTCCATGCCACAGTGATGCGCAGTTCCGTTTTGTTCGGAAAAAAAAGAGGACATAATACTTTTCTTAGCTCCTCTTTTAAATAACGAACATTAATTGCCAGGTAACTCATATTTGCCATAATTAAGCCGAGTTATTACCAAATATTCACAATATTATTTTAATTAGAAATAAACCCGCGTAGTCAACCCATAAGCAATAACATTTGACATTTCGGAGACCTCGCGCTACACAAGCGCCTCTAGTGGCTGATTCATACGCATTAGCCCTCATTAGTAGGTCAACGAAGTGTGACATCTTGTGACAGGGGGGTGAGAGGGTACCTAAATTTCGTGACGTCACATTTCAAAATCTATTATAATCTAAGTGTCGAAACTTTTACTTTACGAAAGCATTGACAACCCAAATGCGAACAAGTTGTAGAGAACGAGTGGTGCTACGCCAGTTATAAATATTTTTGGATCAATTTCCATGTCAAGATTATTAAGTTTGTGTCTTTAATTTAATTATAATGCTATTAATATTTTTTTTTGTTAATTTCTTTAATTAATAATGTCAATCGTTTTTTTGTTTTGTTTATTTCTTTAATTAACATAGTCAATCATTTTTTGTTTGGTAATTTCTTTATTTAATATAATAAATCGCTTTTTTGTTTTGTTAATTGTTTGATTTGATTATAATAATAATGGAAAAACAATTTAAATGGAAATAAAACTGATTTCAGAACCGCTGTTTTCATTCAATAATTTCTAAATGTAAATTTGCAAAATATGTGAAGTCACACTAGGGAGGGGGGGAGTCTCACAAATGTGACCAGCTGTGACAAGGAGGGGGGGGGAGGGGCAAGAAAACATGAAATTCGTGTGACGTAATTTATGGATGACCCCTTAATAGGACATCGTCATTATTATTGACTCACCGCGCCATCTTTCCCTCTGAACTCCCTCAGAGCTAGTACCAGAGCTCTCCCACAAACGGACACGACGCAGAGATACGGATCCGCCACTGCAGCAGATGCAGCTGTCCATTCCAGCTGCATCGATTGAATTTGAACGCCGTCTGTTGAATTATGATCAGTTACAATCATAGAGGTATAAGAATAGATTAGGAGAGATATAGACTCTACCACAAGTGGAAGTGTCCTTCTAATAGAAGGAGAAAGAAGATGAGAGACCGCTAGCTTTCTCTCTATAATCGCGCATGCACATTGCAACAAATTCAACAAATAAAACAAGGAAATAACAATAATTTAACAAATATGATAGAATATGCACGCTCACGTCTACAGGTTGATCGGGAGATTAAAGATGGCTAACGTAAACCAACCGATTACAAAACATAACACTTCAACGTAAAATACTTATATTATGTCTACTCATAAATTTTGTCGTATTATAATACCTCTTAAGTTGGGGAATGATTGTGTTTTAGGTCTTTTTCCGTGTCAACTTAAGTTGTTAAAGTACTTTTATCAGTAAAAAAGATATACGAATTTATAATGAGTATGTACGTTAAATATGTGTGAAATATTTTATTTTCTTATTCATATGTTATGTAACAGCTTTAAAAATAATTAACTTAATGTTTCCCTGCACTTCCTATGTAAATAGTATTTAATGTTTACTTTTGTCAAAGTATTCTTTTTATGGTTTGTTTACATTTAAGACTATAGAATAGTAGAGGCCCCAGTAATGAACCCTGTGCTATCCACCTCGTTGATTTGTAGGATCTTACAAATGTCGTATCCTAATCCTACTAATATTACAAATGTGAAAGTTTGTATCTCAATCTGTTACTCAATCACGCAAAAAAAACTGAACGGATTTCGATGAAATTTAGTACGTATACAGTTTATGACCTGGATTGAGGCATGCGATACTTTTTATCCCGGAACAATGTTGGAATCCTGAGGGATTTTAAAAAGGCTTTTTTTGTTTTTGAAAAATCCCTGAGGTATTTAAAAAGAACTAAAGAAACGCGGACGTAGTCGCGGGCGGTCGCTAGTTATACTATAACCATATGCCCTATATACTTACTAGTCAGTAATCTAATGGTAGTGGTATTGACTTGCACCATATACTTTTTATTCCCGAGATTAGCAGCTAGAACCGTGGAGGCCCCAGTCATGAACCCTCAGCTGTCCACCTCGTCGATCTCCTCAACGATTTGAAGAATCTTTCAAAATATGTCCTGTATCCTACTAATGCTGCCTGGTCCGCGTGGAATTTTTCCTAGTTATATTTTCTTTAGAATATTGTCAAAGTTTGTATGTTTGTTACTCAATCACGGGTACGCATGTAGTTTATGAACTGGATTGAGACATATGATACTTTTTGTCCCGGAATAATGTTGGACTCTTAAGGGATTCAATTTAAAAATAGGGGATCAAAAAAAGCGCAATCTTTTTTCAATACTTTTTTTTTAAAAAAATCCTGATGGATTTAAAAAAAAACTAGAGTTAAAGCGGACAAAGTTGCAGGCGGCCGCTAGTCATACCAATAAAAAATGCCCCATATACTTACTAGTAAGTAATCTGATAGCAGTAGTAGTGACTTGCACCATATACTTGTTGTTCCCGAGATTAGCAGCTAGAACAGTGGAGGCCCCAGTCATGAACCCTGAGCTGTCCACCTCGTTGATCTCCTCGCCCGTTTGAAGGATCTTACACACAAACAAACAAACAAACAAATTAATAAATCCTACTGAGTTTCACCTAACTTCAACATAAATTCATGGTTAGCTCTTAGTAAAATTTGTGGTGTAATTTAAAATGCTGTTGTTTAGGAAAAATAATCCTCATGATAAAATAATGTTTTTTTATTTCACATTTTGATTCCCGGTTTTGGCAGGCGATTTTTTAAAAACTATGAATGCAGTTCCACTTATTATCACTACATAGTATAAAGCAGTCGCTTTCCGCTGTCTGTCCCTATGTCCCTATGTATGCTTAGATCTTTAAAACTACGCAACAGATTTTGATTCGGTTTCTTTTAATAGATAGAGTGATCCAAGAGGAAGGTTTATATGTATAATACATGCATAATACAGTAGAGAAACACTGATAATTTTAGAGGTTTTTAATGTAAGATCGTAAATAAACACATTTATAGCGCTTACATTGCAAACGCTGGTTGAACCCTACGAGATAGATCAAAATAATGTACTACAGTATTGTACACCCTAAACAGGTGGCCATTCGCCTAACGGAAATACTTTGGAAAACGCTAACGCTTACGATTTTATTTTTATTATTTCTAGCCGCCTAAGGTTTCCAAACGCCTCGCGCTCTTTTTTTTTCTTTTGCATTGGTAATAACAATATTAAAAAAAAATGAGGGTGAGGTATTTGGAAACCTTCGGCGGTCAGAAATAACAAAATAAAATCGAAAGCGTTAGTGTTCAGGCCACACAACGCCTGAGTGGAAAACAGCGGCAACAACTTCGAACGACGGCACGTCATTTAATACGTCAAATCATTGCGGTTTGAGACTCGATCACAGCAACATCAAATTTATTATTGTAACGTAAATTTTATAATTAATCAAAAACCAAGTAAACTAGTTATCCAGCAGTTGAGTCTCATTTCATCAGACACCTATCGCAATCAAATGGTGACCCCGACGTGATCAAATCAAGAAAAATCGATCGCAACCTGATCGGCCTTCAGATCGACATCTAGATTGGGAAGACGGACTATCCTTCAGGAACTCGCCAGTATCCAGCTGCAGCCATCATTCCGAGGGAAGTGCGCTAATATTCCTATAATTATTATACACCTATTTCATCCACTGACGTTAATTTGCGTGAGTAAAATTTCGTTAGTTAAAAGTGCACGAAACCACCCGCGCATAAGAAATATTTTACATTTAGCATCTTTTTCATTAAAATACATCTTTAATACCACATATATTAGCTTAAAACGGTGTTTTGTTGGACATTGATTCCTAAATCCCCATATATTTGTAGTAATTAGCCGTTATTTTGCAATATTAAAATTTTGTGTTGCGCTGTGTTACACAGTGTCACGACACAGTGTAACAAGTGAATACAATTTGTCGTTACCAATAAATATAAAAGCGTCCTCTATTTAAAAATAAAGTAATTACAATATTTTAAACACGAATGCTGAATAATTCCAGGTGCATAACGGAATTCAATACAAGAAATTAATTCGGATTCTGCTGAGTGTTGCAGTCGCGCATTCCAACAAGCGTGCACAGTGCCTGCCACTAGCTGCGAAACCGGTATTGTTATCTCCACTCCCGGTATTCAACGTAACGTACACTATTCATTATTATTTATTTGTAAATTTAGTTCGTATTCGTGTAAACATTGAATATTATAGTGTTTTAATCGTTATTTCGCCGGCAAATGAGTACCTTAAAGGATCTTATCAAACAAAGGGGACAAATAAGAGCTCGTTTAACATTATTTGAGAAATATTTGTTGCCTTTGTTAGATTGCAAAGAAACTACTCCGGTTATATTGAATGAACTGCGTTTGCGTTGTAATAAAGTGCGTGACCTGTCGTGCAATTTCGAGGAAATTCAATCGCAAATAGAAATGTTGGATGAAGATACCACTATACAAATGCAAGAACGGGAAACAACAGAAAATAACTTCTCTAATTTGATTGCACAAGCTCAATCTTTGTTGGAATTCTTTGAAAACAAACAAAAAGTGGAATCTTTATGTAACACAAGTTCTAAGAATATCAACATTAAATTACCGCCATTAAAAATTGCTCCTTTCAATGGAAATCCACATCTTTGGTTAGCTTTTCGCGACATGTATTTATCTTTGATACATGAGAATGAAAACCTTGATAATATTAGTAAATTTCATTATCTTAAGTCATATTTGGAAGGGCCGGCTGCTTCGGTGATTAATTCTGTCACAGTTTCATCAGATAATTATACAATTGCCTGGTCTGTACTTTGCGATCGGTATAATAATAAGCGTCTTTTGATAAATGAGCACATTAAATGTTTGTTTTCAATTGAACAACTCACTAAGGAATCCTACAGCGGTATTCGTAATTTAATTGATACCTTATCTAAAAATTTAAATGCGTTAAATTCACTAGGCGAACCGACTGACAAGTGGGATACGATTATTATTTATATGGCCTCAGGAAAGTTGGATAGTGTGACTTCTAGAACATGGGAGGAATATGGGAGTAATAAGGATTCTCCCACATTGGAGGATTTTTATTGTTTTCTTCGTCAACGAGCTACTGTTTTAGAAACTGTAAATGCTAGCAAACTCTCAATTAATAAATATGAAAAACGGCACAGTCTTCCTAACGTGAAATCTTTTGTTGGCTCCGCTGTTGCTCCTTCATCCCCACTCAGACTTTGTCCCATCTGTAAACAAAATCACAAATTATATGAGTGTACTATATTTAAATCGATGCCCGTTAGTGAGCGAATTTCTAAACTTACTTCATTAAAACTATGCAATAATTGTTTCCGTAGTGGCCACCAGGCTTACTCTTGTAGACTGGGTGGCTGCAGAATTTGCAATAAAAAACATAATACATTAATACACAAACAAAATTCATTACAATCATCACAAATAAATCATGTCAACAATGAAAGTACAAACACTACAAATGAATGCAACTTACCTACTCCTGCCATTGATTCTTCATCTAGCTCCACTTCTGTGACTATGTCTGCTACCTCCAGTGGTCAAAGCACTCCTCTCTACGGCATTAGTCAAAATAAATAATAATAACCAAACATTCACTCTCAGAGCTTTGTTGGACTGTGGAAGCCAGTCCTCATTCATCAGCGAAAGGGCTCAGAGGAAAATTGGTTTGCTACGAAACGATAATCATTATAAATGTGTTTCAGGCATAGGGAATTCTATTTTAAATGTAACAGAACATTGTCAGCTACATCTTCAGTCAATACACAATTCATTTAGCGCAATGATCAAATGTTTTATATTACCTCAGATAACAGACAAATTACCTCAAGTTACAGTGCGTATACAAGATTTGGGAATTCCTAGTTTTGTCAAACTTGCCGACCCAAATTTCCATCAATCATCTGAAATTGATATGTTATTAGGCGCAGATATATTTTGGGAACTTCTAAAACCGAGTAAGGTAATTTTAGGGCCACATAGGCCAATATTACAAGAAACAGAATTGGGGTGGATAGTGGCTGGTCCCACTGCAGACAGCTACTATGCCACTAACAATAATAAAAAAAACTCATTGCCATTTTTCAAAAGAAATTAGTCAACAACTTAGCAAATTTTGGGAACTTAAGATACCATCTAATTTAAACTTTAATAAATACGATTATTGTGAAAAATTATTCTCTTCTACTACCCGTCGTGAAGATGATCGTCGATTTTGTACGAAAACGGCGAACGAATGCACCAAGCATCTTTCTAGAAGACGCCGACACGTCTCAAACAAAATTTTTGACTTATCTTCACAATCAAGCGTTCTAGGTCTAAAATGGGATCCTTAAAATGAGATTTTACAATTTTCAGTCGATATGGAACAAAAACAGCCAGTAACAAAACGAACCATTCTCTCTAAATCGGCTAAACTCTTTGACCCATTATGCTTACTTAGTCCATGTACCATCATTCCTAGAACAATTTTACAATGGTTGTGGCTGTCAAAGCTGGAATGGGACGATCCAGTGGATGATGCGTCAGAAAATGAATGGCAGTTTTGCAAAAAATTCAGAATCCATTAAAGAATTTCAAATACCAAGACATACTCTTCTTCGTCAATTTGTAGAAATTCAACTACATTTGGAGACACGTTCCTGGAGACAAAAACCCAGCAGACCTAGCATCTCGAGGAGTAAACCCCAGATCTATTCAATCTGCTCGTCTATGGTGGGAGGGTCCATCTTTTCTTACGGAGGACCCATGTGACTGGCCTCAGAACATAGGATCACGAAACATTCTGGATCTCCCTGAAACAAAAACTGACAAATCCATTAAAATAAATTCTTCAAAATTATTTAACCTACAATGTATATATAAACCAACCATCGGCTGCGGATGTCTGCGGTGTTGTGGAGTTTGACAGACATTCAAGCTTCACAAGCTTCACGAGGTCCACTGCATACATCTTGTGTTACATACACAATTTAAAAAACAAAAAACCAAAATTTACAGGTCCCTTAAATCTTGATGAACTAGACAGTGCCCTTAAAGTTTTAATAAAACAACATCAAAGTAAATGTTTTGCCAGCGAAATAAAAACGATAAAAAACAAACAAAGCTTACCTTCAAAATCGCGAATCTTGTCACTCACTCCATTTCTCAATAATGATGGCATTCTTTCTGTAGGGGGACGTTTGCAAAATTCTGATGAACCTTATGAAAGGAAGCATCCTGTACTATTAGATTCTAATAATAATTTCACCAAGATACTGTTTGCACATCAACATGTAAAACTGCTCCATTGCGGGCCTCAACTCTTACTAAGTAATATACGCAATAGATTTTGACCTTTAAGAAGCAGAGTTTTGGCACGAGGGACAGTCAATAATTGCAAACTTTGTAAATTAATGAAAGCGAAATCATTCTATCCCATAATGGGAAACTTACCGTCTGGCAGAGTGATTCCAAACCAACCTTTCCACGTCAGCAGCGTCGACTTCGCTGGGCCATTCTACATTACCAATCGCAAAGGACGCGGTTGCAAAATAATTAAATGCTACCTATGTCTCTTCATTTGTTTTAGCACTAAGGCTTTGCACCTCGAAGTAGTAGCGACCTGTCCACTGAGGTTTTTATTTTATGTTTACGACGCTTTATTTCTCGCAGAGGTAAACCTTTGCAACTATATTGCGATAAAGGTACAAATTTTGTCGGCGCGAATAACGAAATTACAAAATTTCTAAAATTAAATAATGGGAACATAACTGGTTTCGCATCCGACGAAGGATTCCAATTTAAATTCTCTCCGGCTTACTCTCCTCACTTTGGAGGATTATGGGAGGCAGGTGTCAAGTCCGCAAAACACCATTTAGTTAGGATTTTAGGTGATAAACATCTAACGTTTGAGGAGCTATCAACTTTATTCACGCAAATTGAAGCCATCCTTAATTCTAGACCCTTAACTCCTCTTTCCTCAGACCCTAACGACCTAGATCCTTTGACTCCTGCGCACTTCCTGATCGGCAAACCACTCACATCTCTGCCTGCTGAGAACCTGTTGGAAGCCAACCTGAACCGACTCGACAGATACAGACTTCTGGAGAAGATGCGCCAGCACTTTTGGGAACGTTGGCGGACCGAGTACCTGAATGAGTTGCAACAAAAATCTAAATGGCGAGTGCAACAAAGAGGATTCCAAGAAGGGGATTTGGTCGTGATCAAGGAAGCTAACCTACCTCCATTGAAATGGCGCATGGGGCGCATCTACAAGCTTTATCCCGGCTCCGACGGAACATCCAGAGTCGCAGATATCTACACGTCGAAGGGCATCGTGCGCAGAGCCGTCCACAACATCTGCTCCCTACTCGTATCAGAACAGACTTCGAAACCCTGAAGCTTTCGAGGGGGGGAACATGTTCAGGCCACACAACGCCTGAGTGGAAAACAGCGGCAACAACTTCGAACGACGGCACGTCATTTAATACGTCAAATCATTGCGGTTTGAGACTCGATCACAGCAACATCAAATTTATTATTGTAACGTAAATTTTATAATTAATCAAAAACCAAGTAAACTAGTTATCCAGCAGTTGAGTCTCATTTCATCAGACACCTATCGCAATCAGTTAGCGTTTTCCAAAGCATTTCCATTAGGCGAATTGCCCCCTGTTCTACAAAAAAGTCCGCGGTGGTATATGTCTATCTCTTAGGGATAACCCACAATAACCATTTTTTATCCTATACTTTTTACGAGAAATAATAGATTATTTGCGAAGCGATTTTCATCTAACATTCTTCCTTATCCAATTAAGTACCTTAAATACATTGTGCATTTAATATAGACCAATTTGGCCCTTTAACGTATGTAATTTAAATAAATATTTTCGAAGATATTACAGATTTAAAATGCAGGGACATAGGTCGGTTTCGACGCTACCGGGCGGGGGGCTTGGCGGCGCCTGCCTATTGTAATTAGGTATTAGAAGAATGTCATTTTGTATAATACAACCCTCTAACAAAAACTATAGTCTACACAACTGCTCTACACCGAAGCGAAGCGAGGGCGGGCCACTAGTCATAAATAAAATTGTCTTGTTTTTTTAGTAAAATATCCTATCTTCAATATTTAATATACTTTACCTCCGTGTAAGGAACCCGTGAGACGCCGTATATTATGAGTGTTTACATTTCGTCAATATAAAGTGAGGTTATAAATGAAGCAACATTCACCATACTAGAATCCTCTTGCGTTAGAATAAGGTAGGCGTGACTTCCATCCGCATCTTTGTGAGCTTCCCTGGGGGCTTCCGTGGAGCCCGGGTCTCCCATCACCGTCCACATGTCTATACAGCCTGTATCGACAACGGTAAAGATAAATAAATAATAAATATTCATTACATACATATACTTTATGTTTTTATTTATTTTTAAGCATTTAACTGCTAGATGTTTCAATCTAAAGAATGGTTTACTAGAAAAAAATCCACGCGGACCATGCAGCGGACGGGACTCGAACCCGAACCCTTCGCAATCCGGGCGAATGCACTGACCATTATGCTACCACGGCCCTATTCGCCGCGTCGAAATTTTCCTAGCCTTAAGCTGCAAGGCAACGCCATCTCTTCGCATTGTAGGTAACCCACAATGTCAAATGAATACTTTTTCAAGTATTAAACATTTGAAAGAAGAAATAGCAATTATAGTTATGTTTTTATTTATTTTTAAGCATTTAACTGCTAAATGTTTAAATCTAAAGAAAAGTTTACTAGAAAAAAAAATCACGCGGATCAGGCAGCGGACGGGACTCGAACCCGCACCCTTCGCAATCCGGGCGAATGCACTGACCAATATGGACATATACTTACTTCATTAATTACTTAGTTCATTTAACTGCTAGATGTTTAAATCTAAAGAAAATATACTAGAAAAAAAAATCTCAAATATTTAATACATACTTGAAAGGTATTATATTGATTTGACATTGTGGGTTACCTACAATTCGAAGAGATCGCGCTGCCTTGCAGCTCAAGAAAGGCTAGAGAAAATTCGACACAGCTGTCAGGGCCGCAGTAACATAATGGTCAGTGCATTCGACAACGAAATTCGATTCAGTGCGTCAGTTAGTTAAGATTATCAAAAAATATTGGACACGCATCTTTTCTTTGGTCAATCAACCAAAAAATTACAAAGATATTGCCGCAATCACATTTGGTCGACAGCCTTAATTCTGGTGCACGAAAGACATTACTCGAATTCAGGCACCCAAAACAATATTTACACTGAAATACGGACTGGAAGACGGTGTCGGGTAAACAAACGGAAAGCTACCCGATAACGGGCGTATTCGACTCCGTTCAGTTACTAGTCGTTTACCCGAATTCCATCGGCACTCGTATTCGGGCTAACGACCAAGTATAATCGCGCCATTAAGGGCGCCAAAGTTTGGGAGTGCGTCGTGACGTCACTTTTATATAAAAATTGTACCAAGACATGGCGTCAAGCGACATTTCACACTAATATGTCTCTGTGATGGTTTGATTATCTGAAAATAAATAGTTTCCAATACTTTTTGATAATCTAACTGATCGAAGAACAAAAGTTAGTCGTCATTCCTATTTACTATTAACTCATTCCTTTTTTACTATATTTAAAAGTCTTACAAAAAGATAGTGTTTGATTTCAAGGATATAGGGAAGAAAACTGCCAATTTATTCCACCAGAGGCGCAGGTTTTGAATAGCCCAAACAACAAATCGAGACAGCTGACATAATAGGGTATTTGACAAGTTTTAGAAATCGATCTCACGTTATTGACTAATGTTTATGGAGTCCGTAAAAAGTGGATATTCATCATTCTGTTGTGTATTTCAGTAAAAATAACCAAATCAAAAACTCCATTTTCAAGTTGCCGCGAAATCGTTTCTCTGGACAATATGGCGTCTTACTAGTGTGTGACGTCACACGACTGTTATTAAAACGTCAAACAATGTAATGCCACTTTAACCGGAAGTTTACTTCCGTGTGACGTCATTTTAGGCTCCGCCAATCCCAAGCGATTTGGGTCACGTGACAATACATAAGTAAACTATTATCTTTTTCGTGGGCTTTTAGTAAATTTTTTTTTTTTTTAAATAGTAAAAACCCCTGCCAATATTCATTCTAAACACAGATGTTAACAATTGGCACTTTATTTTTAATACTGTCAAATACCCTATTACATGGAAAACCAACAAATTCCAACAGACTGCGTTTCAAACCTACGCTCCAGGTGCAACAAATATCAAATTTGTCATAAGTTTCATACAAATTTATGTCGAAATTGAAACGTTAGCGTAAAAAGTAGCAATCAGAGCGTAGGTTTAGAACGCAGCTTTGAAGTGACAGATTGCTTGTTATGGACTTGGAGCTTGTGTTTTCTTCCCCGCTTCGTATCGCTTAACGATTCAACGATTTCCTTTATTACTATTTACTTTATTTAAGTATTAAAAAGATGGGAAAACGTTTGATTTTGTAAATATTTTGTAATCACTAGTTGATAATAATATTGTATAATTTGCGCTAAGAACTGAATCGGAGAATTGACACAAGACATTTGTGTTAATATTGCACGTTTTGTCGACTAAATGTGTCTAGACTGGATTTCTTGTATTATTTTCGGTTCTTTTATTTATTGGCGCGAGTTATAACAGCTATGATAATATATGTATGATGACAATATCACTAAAATACGGCCAGCGAGAAGCGATACAAAATGTAAACAAGTCGATAAACAGTCTAAATTGGCTAAATGCCAATACATAAAATTTTATTTATGAAAATTAACATAGGACTTTTATCGTTTTAATTGGCATATATTTCATAAAAAGGTATCAAAATGTGTATTATAATAATTATTAATATCTTAAAAAGCTAAAATAGCTTATATAAATTTTTAAAATAAGGTCAATGATGTAACATTTTGTTATATTACTATTTTATTTATTCAGGTGCCAATTCTTGTAAGTAAATCAAAACAGTTCAAAAAACAAAAAAAAATAGTTATTACCGCGAGTAGAATTGTAAAGACACGGACCAAAATGAAAATATGTCACAATTTTTTACTATAAATTGGCCCCGAATGTTAGCGAATTCGGTGCCACGGCGATCACGTGACACGACCTAATGAGACCCAATGTCATATATATGAGACGAAATAATAGTTATTAGACTGACAGCCCTATAATCTCGCCTAAGGTGAATGAACTTTTGTATCGCTTCTCTTTGGCCCTACTTTTGCTAATATATAAATAATATTAATTTTGGTGGATGAGATTTTTAGTAACATTTATACTGGCAGCAGACGGGACTCGAACCCGAACCCTTCGCAATCCGGGCGAATGCACTAACCAATTATGCTACCGCGGCCCTCATAAACCGCGTCGAAATTCCTCTAGCCCTTCTTAAGCTGCTAGGCAGCGCCATCTCTTCGCATTATAGGTAACCCACAATGTCAAATGAATACTTTTACAAATATCAAACATTTGAAAGAAGAAATAGCAATTTTAGTTATAATTTTTATTTTTTTAAAGCATGTAACTGCAATTATTTGTGACCTTGATTACCCTGTTCAAACGCAAATAAATAATTACTAGCAAACCAGTGAACAAATGTTCACCAAAAAAAAAAATGTATTTAATTAATTGAGAACTTCGGAGATTTTGTGTGGTTTCGTTTGAAATAGAAATCACGTGATTTCCCGAAAACCGGAAGTGCTACATTACTCACATCCGGTTTGTAGTCTTATCAGACTATTCTTAACTTATAACTTAAACATTCTCTATATCTATCTCTTACGGTTTGGCCGCTGAAACAGCACCACGGACGGACGGACGGACGGACGGACTTGTCTAATAGATAAGAGATTCTATTCTATTCTTTGATTAGTCGCTTACCCGGCAAACTGAAGGCGGTCAATGTATGCGGCCTCAAAGCTCGTTGCAGAACACAAAGTGCCCCATTTTTGCCTCGACCACTGCACGCCACTAATTCCATATGTTCACTGGGATCTCGACCCCCGGCCTGAAGCTGAGGCTCTCCCATTGATACGTCGCCGATGGGACATATGTTTAGTAACGAATCACACACCTAAGACAACGAAATAATGAAGACCGATTACTGTCTATCATCATCAGCCTATTAATGTACCCACTGCTGGGGCACAGGCCTCCTCTATGGATGGATAAGGGGATTGGGCCATGACCCACCACGCGGGCGCAGTGCGGATTTGCATGTGCTAACGACTGCAGATGCAGCCGGGACCAACGGCTTAACGTGCCTTCAGAAGCACGAAGCAACTCGAGATTGAAGATTTTTGGTCACCCATCCAATGACTGACCACTGCGAAAGTTGCTTAACTTCAACGATCGCAGCCGAACGCGCTAACTACCTGCGCCATCGAACACCTGATTATTTATACTACTACTGTCTATAACAATGTTATAAAGATGAAGTTTTTTTATTTGCTTAGATGACCGCGCTAATCCCAGGAAATACTGGTCGGACTTGAAAAAATATTTTCGCGTTGGATAGTGCATTTATCGAGAAAGGTGATAGGCTATATCACATCACGCTGAGACCAGTAGGAGCGGATCATCAATGAAAAATACTGCAAAAACGGAAAAAAAATCCAATTCAGAGCTTCCATTGCATTAAAGGGCAAAGTTACACAAAAATCATGTATGACGGAATTGTTCCTCTTTAAAAGTTCTGCGAAAAATTCCACGACATCATAATTATGTTATCCTTTACGGATGACTCACTTAAACCTTTTTTTTTTTAACAAATTATTGCGAGTAAAACCGCAGCACACCTCTAGTTTACAATAAGTATTAGTAAGATTCTCACGACGGGCTCGATGGCGCGGGTGGTTAGCGCGTACGGCTGCGACCGCTGAAGTTAAGCAACTTTCGCAGTGGTCGGTCATTGGATGGGTGACCAAAAATCTTCAATCTGAAGTTCCTCCGTGCTTTGATTGGCACGTTAAGCCGTTGGTCCCGGCTGCATCTGCAATCTCCCTATTCCATCCATAGGGAAGGCCTATGCCCAGCAGTGGGGATATTTATAGTCTAATGATGAATGAATGAATTAAGATTCTCACCTCAAAAACGTAACTGGTGAGCTGCGTAGACGTCCTTATATCCGATCCATAGACCTCCAGTTCGTCCTTATCGCTGATCTCTATGACGTCGGAGGCGACGCAATCGCTTATTGTGTCCATTCGACGTTTCTTGGCAGCCGGATCTTCTTTCTGTTGGACCTCTTTGTTTGCTGATGCATCTTTCTCTTTCTCTTTCTCTTTCTCTTTATCTCTCTCTGAAGAACCAGATTTTTTATAAAATTGCAAAAAAAAACCGATAGCTCATTCGTTTTCGTAATATTCGTAAAATAAAATACGTTTCATTTTTTGTACCTTCAACTTCAATTTGACACTAATTTTCTTATTGTCATTTAAGTTGAATCCAAGTAAGTTATCAGTTTAACTGACAAGTTTATGGGAAAAATACAAAACATTAATGATTTGGCTGTATGGAAGCCTTTTGCCTTTTTTAACTTGGCTGTATAGAATTCGAATCCTTTGTATTGATACCTAATTCTTTACAAATAGGAGAAGTTGAGGAACAATATTAGCTATCTATTAATTAAACTGACAATTTTATGGGAAAAAATACAAAACGTTGATGGTTTGGCTCTATGGAAGCCTTTTGCCTTTTTTAACTTGGCTGTATAGAATTCGAATCCTTTGTATTGGTATTTTTTTACAAATAGGAGAAGTTGAGGAACTATATGAGCTATCTATTAATTAAACTGACAAGTTTATGGGAAAAATACAAAACGTTGATGGTTTGGCTTTATGGAAGCCCTTTGCCTTTTTTAACTTGGCTGTATGGAATTCCAATCCTTTGTATTGGTAATTCTTTACAAATAGGAGAAGTTGAAGAACAATATGAGCTATCTAGTATTCGGATCTATATGTATTATGATCGTTTGATCAATGTTTAAGAGATTATCTTTTGAAACTTACCAGCATCTGACACAGTGAGGTCCACAGTCGCTTCCAAAGGTTTTTCCACAGAGAACAACATTCGGTTCTCTCTTTCCGTCACTCTGAGTAGGAGCGAGTTGCCGAGACGAGAGCCGAGGAATAGGAAGTCTTCTTCTATTACGCACATCTGGAAAGTGGAAGAATGAATTTAAAGCGAACAGGGAGAGGAAAATATTCCAACACGACTAGTCTAATAACAGTGACGATTTCTTTAAAGAACTTTTACAACCGTACTCAGAAACGTCAATAAACTTTTGAGTCAATTGCTTTCTTTGCTATAACAGGTAAAACAATACAGGACTTTAAATGATATGAAATTTATTTGTCGTCTGCGATAACAGCCGTTATATAAATACAACATAATTTTTGATGATGAATTCAGCTGGCCCGTTTCTTTGAATAATAAACGTTTATTTCTTTTCATTTTTATGAAAATTGCTCAATCAGAAACACGATAATATTGTCACAAACGCTCTCGAAACGTAACCGCGAAAGCGCCAGAGATCGAATTTGCCAGATCACCGCGGGTCGCGGTAGAGGTCGAGTAATACGGCTCATTCTAAAATGAGCCTTATGCAGTGCGGCGTAAGGGTGAAAGTGCAACGACATCTGCACTTGTTTACAAGTTATGCGTGTTACCTGCGTAGGTATAGGTAGGTATTTCGTACTCGCGGGTGCTAGGTAATTCTCAATTTAACAGGTACTTTCTAGAATGCGTCGATCGGCGTATATAAGCGCGATTGGCGCCGCGCAAGGACAGTTGAATTTCAACAGCGATTTCGGAGCGAATCCAAAGGCGATCTAAGTGCAACAAAGTGTTCAAGTGAGATTGTTTAGAGACTTGTATAGTGAAATACAGTAATTAGTGAGTGTTTTGTAATTAACATTGTGTGTTAATTGTGTGAACTGTGTGGTGAATAAAGAACTATCAAGCGTGAACTGGCATATAATTTCGAACCCCATCCCGACACGTAACAATATGAATATCACATTAATTTTATTGAACTCTGTAATGGTATTTAAATTTGAAGATAGCTAGGGTCAAAATTGTTATATTACGTCTTCGACTCCTAGCGACGGAAGATGAGAAATCAAATAGTGTGTCGCTTGATAACTAAGAGCAATGTTTATTATTTATTGAATTATTTAAACTTTGTTGCCACAACTACAAAACACCTACTACGGACAAAAGGCGGAATTAACGCTAAAAACATTCTCTGCCAGTCAGCCTTTAGACTTAAAGAAATAGGCACGAATGCGGCTAGATTAAAAAATGGGTGCGTGTACTTATGTAGGCGCGTGAGAAGTTATCCTTCTTTGGCATCGTTTAAAATTAGTTTTTAATTGCTTGCAAATAATTAATTACAATAAATTAATAAAAAGACTGGAAAAGGACACAGTCAATAAAGTTCAGTTTTAATTTGAAAAAATAAATAAATAATCAAAATATTCAATTAAAATCGCTACTGAATATAATTTATTAGAACATATGTGATTTGCACTTGTATGAAACTCAAACACGTATTCCGAATATACAAACTAGAAACATGTGCATAAATATTATAAATATGAATACCTATAACTGTTACTTTATTACAAAAAATAAAGCTGTGGTTTTTGGTTCTACTACACCAATGGTCAAGAGATGGCGCTGTAGTCTCCTGAATCGCGCTTTGGTTCCGTTGTTCCAGATTAATAAATACTTTTGATAGGCCTTCACAATGCAGTCGTTAGCACCCACTAAATAGAGATTCTATTTCTATTTTGTTGGTAGATTTTCTTAATGTGCGGTAAATACAAAAGTAACGCATGAAGTTGGTCGCTAAAGCGACCAACTTCATGCTGTTAAAATTTTGTGTTACAGTGATGCGCGCGCATCTTAAAATTTCATTCTCATCATTTTTTCATAACGCGCCTAAAGAAGTATAACTTCAAAAAGAAGCGACTGATTTTTATTCGTAATGGCATCTTTGAAAATATTTTTCTTAACTAATATTGATGTGCGTCAGCTGTAAATTCTGAGTTTGATGTCTTCTACATGCAAAGAACACGCTGACGCTACACGTCTTAGGGTCTTTAAACCAAAGTGTTGGAAATCACACAAATATTATAAAGGCGAAAGTTTGTGAGTGCGTATGTTTGTTACTTCCTCACATCTAAACGGCTGGAGCGATTCTAATAAAATTTGGTATGGAGTTAGCTGACACCCTGGATTAACACATAGGCTACGTTTTACTGCGGGAAAATATCCCTAATAAACCGTAGATAGTATTTAATAATTGGACGTTGTTAAATGAAAAGGATCCAACCCATAATCTTATGGAAAATTAATTTAGTACACCAAAGTACTCCTTATGGTCAACACGACAAAAATCCAAGTAAAATACATGTTATGTTTTTATTTATTGAAGTTATACTTCTTTAGGCGCGTTATGAAAAAATGATGAGAGTGGAATTTTAAGATGCGCGCGCATCACTGTAACACAAAAAATTAACAGCATGAAGTTGGTCGCTTTAGCGACCAACTTCATGCTGTTACTTTTGTGTTTACCGCACATTAAGAAAATCTACCAACAAAATAGAAATAGAATCTCTATTTAGTGGGTGCTAACGACTGCATTGTGAAGGCCTATCAAAAGTATTTATTAATCTGGAACAACGGAACCAAAGCGCGATTCAGGAGACTACAGCGCCATCTCTTGACCATTGGTGTAGTAGAACCAAAAACTACAGCTTTATTTTTTGTAATAAAGTAACAGTTATAGGTATTCATATTTATAATATTTATCCACATGTTTCTAGTTTGTATATTCGGAATACGTGTTTGAGTTTCATACAAGTGCAAATCACATATGTTCTAATAAATTATATTCAGTAGCAATTTTAATTGAATATTTTGATTATTTATTTATTTTTTCAAATTAAAACTGAACTAATAAAGTTCAGTTAAACTGTGTCCTTTTCCAGACTTTTTATTAATTTATTGTAATTAATTATTTGCATGCAATTAAAAACTAATTTTAAACGGTGCCAAAGAAGGATAACTTCTCACGCGCCTACATAAGTACACGCACCCATTTTTTTTTAAGCATGTAACTGCTAGATGTTTAAACCTAAAGAAAAGTTTACTAGAAAAAAATCCACGCGGACCAGGCAGCGGACGGGACTCGAACCCGCATCCTTCGCTATTAGGGCCGTGGTAGCATAATGGTCAGTGCATTCGCCCGGATACGAAGGATGTGGGTTCGAGTCCCGTCCGCTGCCTGGTCCGCGTGGATTTTTTTCTAGTAAACTTTTCTTGGGTTATTATTTTTTTCGTACTTATATACACAGTCTGAAATTAAAAAATCAAATCTCAAAACTAAGTTTGGATGGGTGCATCCTTTTCATTGTTACGTTCAATTGGTGATTGCACTGACCGTCGTAGTAAGCACGGAGGCAGCAGCTCTGTCCAGATGAAAGCTCCGAACGCTTCTCACTGAGTCGGAGAGTAAAGTGAGTACGTAGAGCTGCCCCCCCTTCAACGATAACGCGAATCTACCCGCGCCCAATGCGGCCACGCACGACCCGTCCAATGTGATGCACACGCCCTCCTGTATCCCTGCGTCGTTATAAATAAATAAATATTTACTAGCAAACCAGTGAACAAAATGTTCACCAAAACCTGATTTAAAAAAAAATGTATTTAATTAATTGAGAACTTCGGAGATTTTGTGTGGTTTCGTTTGAAATAGAAATCACGTGATTTCTCGAAAACCGGAAGTGCTACGTTACTCAAATCCGGTTTGTAGTCGTATCAGACTATTCTTAACTTATAACTTAAATATTCTCTTTATCTATCTCTTACGGTTTGGCCGCTGAAACAGCACCACAGACGGACGGACGGACGGACGGACTTGTCTAATAGATAAGAGATAATTTTTATTATTTTAAAGCATGTAACTGCTTGATGTTTAAATCTAAAGAAAATATAACTGGAAAAAAATCCACGCGGACCAGGCAGCAGACGGGACTCGAACCCGCACCCTTCGCAATCCGGGCGAAGGCTTTGCAACTTAAGAATGGCTAGAGGGATTTCGACGTGGTCCGTGGGGGCCGCGGTAGCATAATTGGTCAGTGCATTCGCCCGGATTGCGAAGGGTGCGGGTTCGAGTCCCGTCTGCTGCCTGGTCCGCGTGGAATTTTTTCAAGTTATATTTTCTTTAAATAAATATTTCCAACACACACACCAATTAGCCTAGCCCCAAAGTAAGTGTAAGGCTTGTGTTATGGGATGCTAGGATAACGGATAGAATACATATACTGTACATATATAAGTATTTTTTATATAGAAATACATATTTAACATCCATGACTGGAGTACAAATACTCGTATTCATCACAGAAACATCTGCCCCCACCGGGATTCGAACCCGGGACCTCTCGAGTCAGTGACACCATGAAAAAATAGAGAGTTTTACCAACAAATAAAACTTACCTATTATTTTTTCTTCAATATCCGGAATCCATCTTGAGTCAAGCACCTGTCTTTCTACCGTTTAAATCAGCGTTTCCGGTTCCTCTCCGATTGTGGCGCCCTCTATGTCGTGACTCGGAACTTACTTTGCCGCGCACCGGGTGATGTCCGCCATTATAGGTCTCATGATGCGCCCAAGTAGCACTTACCTGGATTCCGGATATTGAAGAAAAAATAATAGGTAAGTTTTATTTGTTGGTAAAACTCTCTATTATTTGTTTCGTATCAATATCCGGAATCCATCTTGAGTGATTTGTTTGTTATCACCTGGTGCGAGAGGCTATAAACGCTATAATGTGTAGATGCAGATTAAAATAAAACAGGTATGATGTGAAAAGAAAAAACATATCAACTTTTGTATAAGTATTCATCATGTTTTTATGTAACAACATAAATAATTAACAACAAGTAATTCACTTCGCGGCTTCAAAATAATTGGATAATGACACAGATTTCTGAGGATCAAGAGAATCACGATTTTTTAGTTCCTTTTTATAGTAATTTTTGAAAGTATGAATCATTTTCCAATTTCCAGTTTCAAGTATTTGATCTATGGGAAAATTTTCTATAAAATTAAGGGACGCCACAGCTGAACGCACAGACCCTGGAGTAGCTTCGATACCACTTTCTTTCAAAAGCGATTTTACCCAACCGCCTATCACTGTTCTGGATGCAGGCTTTATTTCACCTCTAGCAGTGATAAACAAACTATCAAAATTTTTACGACATTCTTGAGAAATTTTTAGTAATTGTTGAATCCAAAATACAGAATTTAATTTATGGATAGAATGCTGTTTAAGCCTCCATCCAGACTGTCTATGATCGGAAGTGTCGGTTTTTGAACCAAAGGCAGGCCATAGTAAAATGCTTCTATCATTAATTATTAAATTGTTAACACCTATGCGTAGCAATGTAAGATCGTGAACTCTACGTCCAGAGGCTAGTAATAACAATGTGGCAGTGTGCCTTGAAACATGATATAGATTATTTTCATCAAAACTATATGAACATAGGTAATCTATCAACAGTTTAGGATTTCAAATAGGTGGTTTAACTGGTTTCTCTCTTGCTACTGATATGGCCTTCACCATATGTTTTACAAAGAAGTTAGAAGATAAATCTATTCTAGAGGTTAAATGTGTAAAGGTGGCAATCACAGATTTATGAACTAAAATGGTTCTATAAGCTAGACCAATGTCACAATGTAAGTGTGCTAAATAACGAGCGACCTGGTCTGCAGTTGGGTATTTGTAATCAACTGAATGAGCCACACACCAGTTTTTCCATCGTCTCCACGCCGGTCTATAGGTGTTGAGGGTAGAGCCTCTCCAACTCGACATTAGCAGAGCTTGTTCTTCAGCAGTCCACTCTGTCAGCATGTCTTGCCACCCAAAATCAGCCATGCCTCCAATTGCAGGTCCTGTACTTCTGGTGGGTGGGTGCCCGTCCTCGTGTCTAAAAGGACTTGCGCTAGGTCTGGAATCAGAAAGGGAGGTTGTAGTGCCCGTCGTTGAACATCGGCTCGCCAATACACTTTGTTCCAATTCGGTGCGATTAAGATATATTGACCGCTGGCCTGGTTCAGGTGGCTGAGGACTCTGGGGATGAGATTCGGCGGCGGGAACAGCCACGCTAAGTGGTAATGCCACTGGTGACGGAAGGCGTTGTGATATTCCGCTTCCTGATCGCTCAAATCTATCGACACGTACCTCGATGCTACATGTGCTGTTCTGAAAAAGTCTCATTGTAGCTGTTTCTAACAGGTGCCATTCGGGTTGGACTTTTCGGCGAGACAAGGCGTCGACTTCCGTGTTGAATCTGCCTGGGAAATACTGAGCTACTATATGTATATTCAAATTGTCTAGAGTCTGAATCAGAAGCTGTGTTTGTTTTAAAAGTTTCCTTGATTTTGTACCGCCTTCTTTGTTTATGTAAGACACTACCGTTTTGTTGTCTGTCTGGAGAAGCACTTGAGCATCTTGCAACAAGCTGAAGGGCTTGATGCTGGATCGCTGCATGAACAGCAAACATTTCTTTTTGGTTTGCGTGCCACGTAAGCTGTTGTGGTGCCCAATTCCCCTCGATACTTAAGTCGTCTAACTGCGCGCCCCATCCTATGTCGGATGCGTCCGTCGTTAACAAATGGGTTATCGCTTTTGGATGTACAGGTGTGAAACTTCCTATCGCTTTGTACCACCATTCCATCTCCTGTCGGACTTCCTGTGGAATGCTTATCTGACGAAACGGGTATTTTTTGGGTAATTGACGACTGAAGTATTGCAGGGTGCGACAATGAAGCCGTCCCCTTCTGGTTACAAATGAGGCAAAGTTGAGTCTCCCCATCAAGGTCTGGTATTGTCTGAGAGACCATTTGCCCTTCACAAGCTGCTGTCGAAGTGCTTTGCGTAGCGATAGGCACTTCTGCTCCGACAGGGACTTTGCGTTGCGTTTTGTGCCCCATGTGATGCCGAGGAACTCGAGGCATTGAGTCGGAGCTAAGACAGACTTGTCGTAGTTGACCACCCATCCGAGCGTTTGCATGGTTCTTACCGTGTACGCTATGTCCTCCTGCAATTGCTGCTGGGATTGATTTGCCAGAAGGAAATCGTCCAAATAAACCACGCACCTTATTCCATGACTCCGCAGGAATTCTGCCACCCAGTTGGTGATTGAAGCAAACGTTTTCGGCGCCGATGAAAGGCCAAACGGTAAACATGTCATTTGCAGCAGTTGGTGCTGATGAGGATTGTGATGATAGTTGAGTCTCAGGAATCTGCGATGCTGTTGAGCAATTGGCACGTGAAAGTACGCTAGGCTTAGGTCTAGTTTCGCAAGCCAGTCCTGATCCTGCAGAAAATCCGGTACACGGAAATGATTGAAGAGTCGAAATGGTTTTGCAAGTACGAACTGATTTAACCTTCTGAGGTTGAAGATAGGTCGAAAGGTTCTGTCCGACTTGGTTACTAGAAAGAACGTTGACAAGTAGCTGGGACTCACTTCCGCTTCTTCTAAGACGCCTGCTTCTAACATGGATTGGATCTGTGCAGACATCTGGTAAGAAGTTTTGGTTCTGTAACATTTCATAACTGTTAAGCTCGGAAATATTAGCGGCGGCCTCAGTATGAAAGGTATGCGAACACCGTTTAATAGCTGACAATTTTTTCTGGTGCTCCTAAGTTGCTCCAAGCATACTGAAATCGAAAGAGACAGCCGCCTCGAAAGCGCTTCGAGTCATTCGTGACGTCTATCTTTAAAGGAAGGTCGGTTTTCGGTGTTTCTTGACCTTTTGCTTGTCGCCAGTGTTAGGTTTGTTTCTTGACTGGCGGGTTGGACGAGGCGCATGTTTACCTCTCTTTGCGGAATAATTCCCACGAAAAAACGTATCGTCATTCTGCTTGCTGGTCGATGGTTTAGGATTCTGGTAAACTGAATCCTTTGCTTGGACCCTAACAGTTGGTTTTGGGGACGAAAACTTCTCAATCCCCCCCATTTTGTGAAGGTAGCTATGAAGTAACTCTTCATCAAAAAGTGACGTTGAACTAGGGGGGTTTTTGTAAATAACATCACGGTGATACTCCTCGGATATGTGACGTAACAAGGTATCCCGACGAGTAGAAATAAGATCCGCTCGCCTTCCGCAAACTATTTGTAACAAGTCATCGGTCACTTTACTAAACGCGGATTCTTTCGAAAACGTTGTTTGTATTTTTTCAAATATCGAACAGGCGTTAATGCCTCTTTAGAACTGTATGTCCAATCGACTAGCGTTTGTAATGATCTTTGTAATTCTTCTTTTTGAGTAAGCAAGGCATTAGTCCAACCAGCAAATGACCGCTCTAATAAATATGAACGTGGGTCGTCCTTTAACATTTGACTTTCGAAACGCTTAAGTTCATCATTAACACTCAGTTCAACGAAACCGGGGGTAGTCAAATATTTCTTTTGAGCATCGGTAAAACGAATAGCATACCAATCATCACACTTAAAATGCTGTAATTCAGCCAATTTTTTCAAGAAACCTTCATTTGACTTTGGATAAACAAGATCTTTTATAGTAGTACTCACATCCGATAAAATGTTAAGCTTATAATTATTGTCCGACTCGGGGCGTCGTAAAATAACTTCATTTGTATACGATATCAGTAACGACTGAATTTTCTACATTTGAAACCGATTTATTAAGTGTATGTGGAATTGCAGTTGAATTTTCAATATTTGAATTCAATTGTTTATTTTCTATGTTTGCAGTTATAAGATTTGTCAAAACAGAAACTTGTTGTGATAAAAATGCAAAATGTGCGTAACTCACAGTTGGCGAATCTTTCCTTGCCTTATTACTCGAAGGGCCCGAGCTATCGCTCGTTGATGATTTGCTATCTTCGCTGCCAGAACCCGTTGATGGAGAACGCACTCGTTTCCGGGGGTTAGATTTTTTAGCAACACTTTCTGAAAACGCTTTTTCACTTTCCCTATCTTGGTTCTCCATTATAAATATAGGAAAAGAAACCGAGTTATTTAAATAACGATAATAAATTAACACTTTTTCGCGTGAATTTTATCGAAATTCTATGCTGACTTGTATACGGCGCGAAAAACAACGCTATAATGACGGACATCACCCGGTGCGCGGCAAAGTAAGTTCCGAGTCACGACATAGAGGGCGCCACAATCGGAGAGGAACCGGAAACGCTGATTTAAACGGTAGAAAGACAGGTGCTTGACTCAAGATGGATTCCGGATATTGATACGAAACAAATAATAAAGTATATGTGTGTTCCTTGGAACACAAAATATTCTGTGCATAATTAATTTCACGCTTATAGTTGGGAAAACTGCCAATTTATCCCGCCAGAGGCGCAGGAGTCCAATGACCCAAAATAATAAAAAAACAAGTGTGCTTATGACCACACGACTGAAGTGAAACTTCTTTAGCACCATCTGTATGTATATATAATATATATATATATATATATATATATATATATATATATATATATATATATATATATATATATATATATTAATGTCCTTACTGCTGGGGCACAGACCTTCCCTATGGATGGAATAGGGAGATTGGGCCACGCCCCACCACTTGGGCCCAGTGCGGATTGGCGGGTGCTAACGACTGCAGATGCAGCCGGGACCAACGGCTTAACGTGCCTTCCGAAGCACGACGGAACTCGAGATAGAAGATTTTTGGTCACCCATCCAATGACCGACCACTGCGAAAGTTACTTAACTTTCAACGATCGCAGCCGAACACGCTAACCACCTGCGCCTTCGAGCGCACGATAAAACTAAGACTGATACTGTCACTTTTTTGCTAAAAATCAGACAGAGGCAACATTAGGTTTAAACCAAGACTTACTTTATTCCGCGTTTTGTAGTAAGGGGCACGTGTTCAACAAAAAACGAGCTTTACGATACTAGTTTAACAAAAAATATTGCTCTATTTCTCTTATTGCATGAATATAAATTGCACGCGACTATACAATAGCGCGTCACAATAATACAGCGCCATCTATTAACGCGCGGAGTAAACACTAACTTCAATGTTGAGTAAGCATAACATTGAGATTCATAATTAATTGACGCAGGGCACATTTATGATTTAAGGAGCTGGCGAACAAGTTGATGAGGAATGAGGAGCTCGATGGCGCGTGTGGTTTGCGAGATCGGCTGCGATCGTTGAAGTTAAGCAACTTTCGCAGTAATCGGCCATTGGATGGGTGACCGAAAATCTTCTATCACGACTTCCTCCGTGCTTCGGAAGGCACGTTAAGCCGTTGGTCCCGGCTGCATCTGCTGTCTTTAGCACCTGCCAATCCGCACTGGGCCCGCGTGGTGGGTCATGGCCCAATCTCCCTATCCATAGGGAAGGCCTGTGCCCCAGCAGTGGGGACATTAATAGGCTGATGATGATGATGATGATGAAATTTTACAGGACCCGTATAAAACTGAATGACATACCTCCAGTGAACTTTTGGCATGGTTTATAATTTATAAATTTAGTAACTTTAACACTGTTTTAGGCGGTTTCGATTGAAAATTATTTGAGATTCAAAATTCAACGGGCCTAAAACCTCGGGACTGTAAAAAGATAATAGTTTGACCAGATGCGTAATTATACCGTTTTGTTCGCCAACTCCTTATTTATAAATTTCAAGCTGCAAAGCACGTATTCAATAAATATCTAATAATTTATTTATTTATTATAAAGACAATCACAACTCGATATATTTCAACATGAAAAATTACTTTTAATATTTTGGAGGCCAATGAAGATCATCCACTTTGTAACATCGAATCCATCTGAATATGTACCTATGTGCTCAAGGAAAACTAATTTAACATATACATAAAAATACATGTTTACACATAAATATATATAAATAAAACTATAATTATATGATTATATAAATATGAGGATAATCATGCATTTAATATAACATAAGGAAAAAACAAAAACAAATTGCAATTGCCTCTTCATAAACCCTGCCTCTAAATTATGAACAAAGAGCAGGAGTCTCTTTGTACTATCTCTTATCTATTAGACAAGTCCGTCCGTCCGTCCGTCTGTGGTGCTGTTTCAGCGGCCAAACCGTAAGAGATAGATAAAGAGAATGTTTAAGTTATAAGTTAAGAATAGTCTGATAAGACTACAAACCGGATTTGAGTAACGTAGCACTTCCGGTTTTCGAGAAATCACGAATTTCAAACGAAACCACACAAAATCTCCAAAGTTCTCAATTAATTAAATACATTTTTTTTTTTATTTCAGGTTTTGGTGAACATTTGGTTCACTGGTTTGCTAGTACTATACTAATCTGGATTTGTACCCACAACAATGCGGAATGGGGTTAAATGACACCCGGCATTTTGTGCCAAAGTTGTATACTTTTTTAATTTTCTTATCTGTGTTTCATAATTGGGTAACGTAGTCTGGCAATATTTGTCATCAGCAGCTAGCTGTCAATGTCAAACACGTAGGTTTGTCATCAAAAGGGTTTCTATATCAAAAAATATTAATCATTAAATAACTTCTATCCACGATTCACTAAAAATAAGGCAAAAGTAGTTTTATGTAGCAAATAATTTTGGCTTTATTTTGAGACCAAATTCAACTGTATAGAAGTTTAGCATTTTTTCTATGAAAAGTGCCGGGTCTCCTTTACTATATCTCCAATTAAATTCATACCAACAAATTACAGTAACTTAAACAATCACTCACTGAGCGGGAAGTTTGTTGTATGTGTTGCTACACTGTTCAAGGACACTCCGTACGGAGGCACCGACTGGTTCAGGTAAATGAGAGAGTTCACCGCCATTATTAAACAACCGCCTGGAATTAAAGAAAAATATAATATAGTATATTTGTTTCTTAGGTTTTCACGCACATCACTCATTAAATAAAACTAGTTCTTACGGGTTAATGCACGAAACTTTATTTGTTTATTGACGTTTCGCAGCCTTTTCAGGTCTGCATCGTCAGAATAATGATTTTTTATTTAAAATTGTCGAGCTACCTTCGAAAGACTTATATTGAGCGTTCGGTTATTTCATTGTTCGATTTTTAAGTTTTATTGTCTATGTATGAATTTATTATTTAATTTACTTAATAAAGTATTTTATTTAAAATTCTTGTTTGTAATTTTGAGTTTATTTATTTGACCCTAACTACCGTAAACTACCACCGGTTCCAAAATTGGGAGACCTTCCTGAGAAGAACCGGCGAAACAAACTCAAGAGAGGCTTTCTATCTCCTTCTTATGTTAAATTATGCAAACAAAAAGAACTAATAGTATCTGATGGTCTTGCAGTGTGTGCTCGGGGTTGGGATTAACCCACCAATAATATAATTAGGGCTGCCATCCGTCCGGGTTTCCCCGGATCTGTCCTAGTTTACGGGGCGTCCGGGGAGCGTCCGGGCGGGGTATTATTTGTAGTCCGGGTTTAAAAAATTACGGCAGCGCATGAGTGGCCCTTGGTGCTGCAAGTGTCCATGGGCAGCAGTGACCACTTATTATGAGGTAGACCGTTAGCTCTTTTGCATAGATCAACATAAAAAAGTTGATTTGTGATATTTTTAACTATTTTTTATTGGTCTGTCCGGGTTCTGGGCTCCAAAATCCGGGGTTATCACGCGTCTTATCCTGGTTGCCACATTTTAAGAGATGGCAGCCCTAATTATAATCATTATTATTATTTATTCAGATATCAAATCCATACAAAATACAATATTCAATCCATAAACACAACGATATAGTAATAATACCCTAGAATCTAGGGTTTTTTTTTTCATGTTATAGGGGGCATACGAGCAGACGGCTCACCTGATGGTAAGTGATCACCGTCGCCCATGGACACTTGCAACACCAGGAGTATCACAAATGCGATGCCGGCCTTTAAGGAAGGAGTACGCTCTTTTTTTGAAGGTTTTTGGGTCGTATTGGTCCGGAAACACTGCTGGCGACAATATATTCCGCAGTTTTGTCGTACGTGGTAAAAAATTACATAGATCACAGTAGATACACCAACACGAACAAAATCGTGGCCGAAACCTGTCCAAAAGGTACATTGGACGATCCACGAAGCTCTAAGATGATCGCGTAGTCAAAAACAATATAAGGCATTTTTTGAACATTGAAAGTCACCTTTAACGCATACTGTATAAGGTCTTAATTAAAACGCCAGCGTCAAAGAGTTCTAACAGTTCGAAATGCAGGGTCATAAAATTTTACAACTTATTGCTATATCCGGAAGAATAAAGACCTTATTTCTTTAAAGCTACACGCAATTCTGATAAAGTTGACGATATAGCTCGATATGCTGATCAGTACGCTCTCCCCACACAGATCTCTTTATAGACCGAGTTAGGTTTGCACCATCAATTGGTACCTCAAAATTAATTTTACTTATGTTGCATTCAATAAAAAGTGGAAATGGTCAGACCACGCCGAATCCAGCTCAACCCAGACACTTTTAATGGAAATCATAAACACATTTTAACTCCCTCTGCTATCTCATTTAGATCTTTATGGGTGATAACCTCTCCTGCTTTCTCGTCAAAATATATTCAGGGACATCCTTTACATCTACCTCTTGGTAATATCATGGAAATTTGCGCTCTGTCACTTGGCGAATAAAACGCTTTGAACGGTTTTCTACAGTAGTTTTTACTACGCCCCGCCTTCGCGTCGGACGCGCCAATCCGGGCCGCCGCACAAAAGTAAGACAGAGAGCATTTCATTGATTGAATAATGAATTGATTTGCATTTGTTTTAGTTGCAATTTGTCATCCGCATCGTGATCGCGACAGCGCTATACGAAAAAGTAAGACAGCGATAATTACATGTCTATGAATGAATTTTTACTACGCCGCTACCGCAAGCGATTATGGCATTATGGGTGACAGAGCGGGTCTTTCCGCGAGTGTACATTGATGATAAAAAGAGTGACTACAGTCCCATTAGGACTGCATAGCCCCAAAAATCAAAATAATAATGCTCACCGAGTGGTTTCTGTACGGGTACCGCTTGCAAACAATCAAAGGGCAATCCCCCCGTAGACCAGATAACAGGGTGAACTCTTGCACTCATGTTTAAACTGACTCCGGCCATCGCACAAGTGTCGTTTCGTACAGCAGTTCGGCTATGGAAGAAATAAATGAAGTTTATATTAATACTAGCTGACCCAGCGAACTTCGTACAGCCATAAAAAAAATAGGGGTTGGTGGTTCTACCACCAAATGAAAATTTAGGATTGTATGTATTTTCGTATGATGTATCATAAAAAATAAAAACAAAAAAAATTGTCAAATAAAAATGAAGGGTGGACAACCCCCTTAACATTTAGGGGGATGGAAAATAGATGTTGTCCGATTCACAGACCTACTGAATATGCAAATAAAATTTCACGAAAATCGGTCGAGCCGTTTCGGAGTAGTTCAATTACGCACACCGTGACACGAGAATTTTATATATTAAGATATACATTTTTTTATGCATTTAACTACTGGTTCTTAGATATATAAAGAAATTTTTACTAGAAAAAAAACAAGGCAGCAGACGGGACAAGAATCCGCACACTCCACTATCCAGACGGATGCACTGACAAAATTTTTTTTTCAAATGTTTTATAGTTGTAGTAATAGTATTTGTTTTGGCATTGCGGGTTACCTTGCAGCTTAAGAAAGGAAATACTAGAACAAAATCGACACGGCTATTATGGTCGCTGCTGTCTGGACTGAGTGGATTTTTTTCTAGTACAATTTTCTATAATTTATTTAATTTTAAGTTTTATTTGTTGTAAATGAATGATTTAATAGTTTTGTTACAGCTAAATCTAGCTTAAGAATGAAGTCACACTGATCGAAAACCTTAGGCAATATTGTCCTGAAAGGTTGTTAATTTAAGGACGATTCAAAAAAGCTTTGAAGGAGTCAATTAAAAAAAGATTTTTTTTAATTTTACTTCATTAATTACCTATAAAAAAAACCGGCCAAGTGCATGTCGAACTCGCGCACTGAGGGTTCCGTACAAACTCAATTTAATACCTCTAAGCGTTCATGAGAAAAAAGGTAGTAACTTTAAAATTTATAAAAAAACTTTTTATAATATGATGTAACTAAAAATTTACGTTTTTCGCATTTTTTCCTTTATCTGTACTATAAGACGTTACTTCGTACCAAATTTCAAGATTCTAAGTTTACGGAAAGTACCCTGTAGGTTTTGATTCCCGTGCGAGTTTCGTAAATTTGCGGTATATACGGCTGTATCTTTTGATTGTTTTGGCTTAGAAGTTTGATTTTTTCACAGCTCCAAGGGACAGTAGACAGGAGTATTAGATATGAATTTCAGTTTGATACCTCCACGCGTTCCTAAGAAAAACAGGTCTTGACACAACACGGGTCTTGACAGACGGACGGACGGACGGACAACAAAGTGATCCTATAAGGGTTCCGTTTTTTCCTTTTGAGGTACGGAACCCTAAAAGTAGAATAATGTGTCTGTACGCATTATGTCGAACGACCGCTAACGAAGTCATACAGACGTATTCGCAAATTGGTTCACATTATCTGTCTATCGAAAACGATATACTTTCTATTGTCGAAGCAAAAAAAAACAATGGTGCAATTATTTTCACACTAGTCGTCAGTTATCTATTTATCGACCGTTGACGACCGAACGCGTTTCGGGCCTGCCGATCGCCGTCCGTGAAGAGCTCGATAACGCAGGTGCTTAGCGCGTTCGGCTGCGATCATTGAAGTTAAGCAACTTTCGCAGTAGTCGCCCATTGGATGGGTGACCAAAAATCTACTATCTCGAGTTCCTCCGTGCTTCGGAAGTCACGTTAAGCCGTTGGTCCCGGCTGCATCTGCAGTCGTTAGCACACGCCAATTCGCACTGGGCCCGCGTGAAGGGTCATAGCCCAATCTCCCTATTCCATCCATAGGGAAAGCCTGTGCCCCAGCAGTGGAGACATTAATAGGCTGATGATGATGATAATGATTGCCGTGTATCAATGTCTTGTCCCTTATCAAACATCTTACCCGGCAAAAGTCCTAACCGGTTCATACAACAACAGCAGTGTGGGTTCGTAGTAACCATGCAAAAACTGTATGTCCAATATGTTGTCTATCTTTTCATCAAGCTCCTTTAGAACTATCACATATGAGGCTAGAGTAGGGGCTCGCGCTATAGGTTGTGCAGGTGCCTGAAAAGTGAAAAATAAGGAAGTTAAATTGTCAATTTTATCTAAAGAAAATATAACTAGAAAAAATTAGAGTTGAGTACGCCGGTATTTGGATAGTTTTCGTTTTGTTTACACAACACTGTATTCCAGTGTAAATATTGCTTGGGATATCAAAATTCGAGTCATCTCTTTCGTTCACTCAAATACAGGCTAGCAACCAAATGTAATTGAACATGAAAATTTTTTATTAATTAACACTAGTTGAAATACGATGAAAAGCATTAAAACTTACATTCTTCTTGAAATCTCCAAATGGCTTTGCCTCTAGAGGATCACTCTCTTCAGAAGTAATATCTTTTCTGAAAGGCAGCACAGCCAGTTTCTTCCCATAAAGCAGCATTACGGCACACCGACACTCAGGATCAACCCGAATCCATGGAATATGGGGATGAGTCGTCCAACCTCCCTGAAAATATGTGGAAACTTTAAAATACTTTATGTATAAGGTATGATGCAAACATTAATTGCATATTTACACATGCACAATATTGTAAATTATTATTTAGGTAAGCAAAGAAACAGTTTTCCACTACAGTAGACTAATAACCAGATTTTATTTACTCTATAATGCTATTGACCTTAATAAAGATTATTTTCAGTTTTTTTTTATTATATATTTTTAAGTAAAATAAGAATATACTAAAAATATTATTGTTATTTCTACCTAAAACCTGCAGCACAAACTTTTGTGTTAAAGCTTAATTCTTGGAACAATGAAATCCTAGGATATTATATCAGTCTGCTTTCCTACAAAACTTAGAGTGCCACAGGGTATTAGCAATGTCCAACTGCTTACTATCAGAACAGCTAACTATAAATACTTTAAGGCACTGTTGTTTGATACATAATAAAACTTGTCTATAAGTCAATGTCACATCAAATACTTAATAAAATGAATAAAATTTTAACTAATGGTTACTTTTTCTATAGTATTCTTACTATGGTCACAGGCTATCTAAGAAGCTTCACACTGTAACCACTGTTTTTCCTCATTTCATAATTATCATTTAAGAGTTAATCATACAACTTTAAGCTATAAACTAGCTGTGCCCCGCAGGTTACCTGGGGCTTATAAGCGATATTTTCCCGCAGTAAAACATAGCCTTTGTGTTAATCCAGGGAGTCAGCTAACTCCATACCAAAATTTATTAAAATCGCTCCAGCTGTTTAGACATGAAAAAGTAAAGAAAATACAGTAATTTATTCAGATTTAAGTTGTATAAAGACATTTAATAATTCAATCATCATCATCATCATCAGCCTATTAATGTCCCCACTGCTGGGGCACAGGCCTTCCCTATGGATGGAATAGGGAGATTGGGCCATGACGCACCACACGGGCCCAGTGCTAATTGGCAGGTACTGACTACTGCAGATACAGCCGGAACCAACGGCTTAACGTGCCTTCTGAAGCATAGAGGAGCTCGAGATAGTAAATTTTTGGTCACCCATCCAAAGACCGACCACTGCGAAGGTTGCTTAAATTCAACGATCGCAGCCGAATGCGCTAACCACTTGCACCATCGAGTTCCTCAATTCAATAATTCAATAGTAAAAAAAAATACCTTCATGTCATCTTCTTCAAAGTAATGCATGCTGAGTGTTATCAAGTTGTTAGTCTGCGGATCATACTGTAACACTGATAGTTTAGCTTCTCTAAACGACACTAATAGCAGATCTCTTCCAGCACTGGAACACCTGACAGATGCCATGGACATCACATTTCCCCAAAGAGTATAAGATGCCAAACATTCTAACTTCATCTTAGGAGGTATAGGTTGCCCAGCTAAAATTAAACCACAGTATTTTATGTAATTTGATACGAGCACATACATTATCAAATGAATACGATTTACTTTTATATATTTAGAAAAAATCCTCTCTTACCAGCATTGACTTCTTTGGTATGGCCTTCTGGTAATAATCGGAAAACCTTGATAATATTGGCTCCAGCAGTAACCAGGCAAACGTCGTCATTATTGAAGAAATAGCAGCTTACGGCATGTTCAATGCCCGTTGCAGGGTGAGTTTGCCGACAAATAGAGAACATTTTTTCGAGATCTACGTACGCACTTTGAGGTTATGTGTTATATCTTTACAAACAAATAAAGTACACACTTAATATAAAAAAACGAATAAACAATGGTAGCGAGTACTCTCACCGCATTCTAACAATACATTTCAGTGCCTCTTATCCCAGATATTTTATTATTATCGTCCTTACACCAACCAAACAAAACAAAGGCTATGCGATTTTTTGACAGCAAGTCAACATTATTAGTGAAGTGAGTGATTTGCGAATCGATTATTAGCAATCGTTTTATCGTATTTGAAATAATCGTTCCTATCCTATCGTACTATAATAAATGTGAAAGTTTGTATATTTGTTACTCACTCATTCAAAACTACTGAACCAATTTGATTTAATTTAGTACGCATGTAACTTATGATCTGGATTGAGACATAAAATACTTTTTAGCTTAGAAAAAATTTAGTTACCTGTGATATTCATAAAAAAAACATAATGCGAATGAAGTCATAGGCAGCCGCTAGTCTATTACAATCTTAGACCATTAAACCACAGGACTAGCCTCGTAAAATCTTTCCCCTCTGTCAAGGTATAAGATCAAATGATCCAGTGCGTTCATAAAAACTACTTACAATCGATAGATTTCCACAGTGTGAGAATCGTTATCGTAGAGACAACAGCTCGTGTCTCCTCGCAAAAAAATGCTAACCTGTGCCGTTTTAACGTGCAAAAAAAGATCAAACACCTCTAATTTACAAAAAAACGGGATATCATTTCACATGTTTAGTGCTGTATGTTAGTGCTTTTTTTCAATTAAAAATGAATTTTACAATAATCGAGAATAGAAACTTGCAAGTAATCGAGTGAGATCCAATTTGAATATGTGCCGAAACATATTCATATGATTTTATACCTTATACTTGAATAATAGAGTCCATTTTAGTGACCTTAACTATTTATTGGCGAATAAAGTCTCTATTGCATGCTCCCCACGAGACTTGCAAACGCACTCCCCACGAGACTACATTTTTTAATTATCAAGTTTCGACCTTAGGCCCCGCTTTTAAGATTAGAAATAATAAAGTCGGTTTTACGGGCGAAGATTTTACGTGACAACGTCTTTTTCTCGGTAGAATATTTATTGATATGAATATAATTAAATTGCACAATAGGAACAAGGAATTGAATGAAAATAAGAATTGCACAAATTTTAACTATAGAAATATATTTTGTTTACTAAAACATTGTACATGTAAACTTAAACTTAACACGAGAGACTCATCGTAACGTTACCGAGCGTTACACTTTTTCATAAGTGACTCCCAGCCGCAACCTAATTTAAGACGTTGTCACGTCAAAAAATGGTTGCCTGTAAAGTCGGTTTTACGGGCGAAGATTTTACGTGACAACGTCTTTTTCTCGGTAGAATATTTATTGATATGAATATAATTAAATTGCACAATAGGAACAAGGAATTGAATGAAAATAAGAATTGCACAAATTTTAACTATAGAAATATATTTTGTTTACTAAAACATTGTACATGTAAACTTAAACTTAACACGAGAGACTCATCGTAACGTTACCGAGCGTTACACTTTTTCATAAGTGACTCCCAGCCGCAACCTAATTTAAGACGTTGTCACGTCAAAAAATGGTTGCCTGTAAAGTCGGTTTTACGGGCGAAGATTTTACGTGACAACGTCTTTTTCTCGGTAGAATATTTATTGATATGAATATAATTAAATTGCACAATAGGAACTAGGAATTGAATGAAAATAAGAATTGCACAAATTTTAACTATAGAAATATATTTTGTTTACTAAAACATTGTACATGTAAACTTAAACTTAACACGAGAGACTCATCGTAACGTTACCGAGCGTTACACTTTTTCATAAGTGACTCCCAGCCGCAACCTAATTTAAGACGTTGTCACGTCAAAAATTATATAACTTGAATTGAGTGTAGCGAGACTATTTATTTACGACTTTTAAGTGATGGGAAATAATATCGATATAATGGTTTTTTGTTTTTTTGAATGCATAAGACACATTTACTCAAAATTAATACATTTTAAAAATAAAATACATAGTTTGATATTAATTATACTTTTTTTTGTTTTTAAGCATGTAATGGCCGCGTCGAAATACTTCTAGTCATTCTTAAGCTCCAAGGCAACGTCATCTCTTCGGATTGTAGGTAACCCACAATGTCAAATGAATACTTTTACAAGTATTAAACATTTGAAAGAAGAAATTGCAATTATAGTTATATTTTTTTTAAAGCATGTAACTGTTTGATGTTTAAATCTAAAGAAAATATAATTAGAAAAAAATACACGCGGACCAGTCAGCAGACGGGACTCGAACCCGCACCCTTCGCTATCCGGGCGAATGCGCTGACCAATTATGCTACCGCGGCCCTGATGGCCACGTCGAAATTCTTCTAGCCATACTTAAGCTAAATAGTTATAATTAATTTTTTTAAGTATGTAACTGCTTGATATTTAAATCAAAAGAAAATGTAACTAGAAAAAATAATAATACATGCTTGTGCGTGCTTGCGTATGTTATATGAACGTAACGTACGTATGTATTTTAAAACATAAAAGTCAGAGTAGAGAAAAAATACGATAAGACAGCTGGTGGTTTCATGACGGTTTAGTAAAAATGAGTTTTTATACTTTAACATTGGAATGGTGGCAGAAGTATTCATTAAAACAGACCAAATAAACCCAGACTCGAGGGATCTTTTTGGTAACATTGAAGAATTCACTATTACAAGTACCACTGAGAATAATTGTAATAATCATAATAATGTTAAATAAAAATGAGTGTAGAAGATTATTTGAGTTCATGTTGTACTTTTTTCAATAAAAGTTTTAATCTAGTGTCTTAACGTATTTTTATTTCATTTTAATTTACCTCTGGCCATTTACACTTACAGTAGCAATATTTTTTTATTGTCGAAATCGTTAAATTTAACACACATTTCTGGACAAGATTGTACCTATGTTGAAACGACTGTTTGACAGATAAAAAGAAATGAACATATATACATAAAACAAATGACATTTAAGATTTTCTCCCACGAAACGATTTTCTAAGTTTAGCAAAAATTATAAGTGATTGGGTAATTGTGCCAGTGAGAGTATTAAAAGACCCGGAGTTATTTTTTCCGTTGTCATATTTTTATTTTATAAAATAATCTTTGAGAACAAGAAAAACTATCGATATTGTTAATTAAAGAAAACTAAAATATCGATACCGAATTTCCCTAGTTACGATTACTTGTGATTGTCATTAGTGTGCGTAGGTGAAAAAATATATTTGTAGGCGATTGTAACAATACAAATAACTAAGGCTGTGTGAGTTTATTTTAATGTAGTGGTTTACCTCGTCCCCCTCAAAAAGTGACAGACTTTGCACTGAGTAAAATTAGGCGCGTACTTAGTCCAGTGCAGTGGTTTAATGGTCTAAGGTACAAACGGTCTATGCAAACTCTTCTTCACACCCTCTTTCTGTGAATTCTGTGGACATGAGTGTAGATAAAGCTTTTTTGTCTTTAATTTTTATTATTATTATTAAATTTTGATTGGTTTTTTACATTACACAACTTGTATTTATACTGTATGACACAGCAATCAAAATGTAAGTGAACATATATTATTTCTCTGATAAAGATTTAATGGCGGTGTGGATTCTGGTATGTTTTTCTAGACCTGAACTTGGTTTTGCAGCGGTGTATCCTTGTCATTCTCTATACAGACTGAAAGGGGGGGACTGATGTTGGATTGGTTTTGGGTTGGGAGAGTATTGCCAGAGTCGACAACAGTGTTTAGGTAATCACATGCATGTGTCCTGCCGTTGTGTTTATAGTTTGTTATAATAATGTACACTGGTACCTATATGTTTTTTTTTTCTATTTTAGTAACATAGTATCCATGTGTGGTTATGAGTAGTCATGCTCTCTTGAAAATCTCTTCGGTGGTGTCGTGTGAGGCGGGTCGTTGCGTTCCCTAAAAAATGGTTGAGCGAAGCGATGGCTGGTTCATGCGTCATGCTCGTGAACGGGTGCTGCCAGCGGAGATGAGTCTGCTCTTAATTCACTGGGTACTACTATTAATCGTTGTTCTAAACTTTAATCGTTCATTATTATTTTTTTTTTTTTTGCCTAAACGGTAGGACACGTCATTCCTAAACATTGTTAAACCATTTTTTTTTTTTACATATTTTAATTTTTTATTTTATAGTCATAATTTTTATATTATTTGCATTTTTTTTGTTTGTAATGAAAAGTGACTTTATGAGTTACCTCATATTGAAGTCATTTTTCAATTTGACGACTCTGTATATAATACAGGGAGAAAAAAACAGCCCTTCCTGAGTTTCTTGCCGGTTCTTCTCAGTACAAGGTCTCCCGCCGTAGATTTGCGAACCGATGGCGTAGCTTTTCGACATTCACAAGTGCTTGTAACAGCCTAGACTGAATAAACGATATTGAATTTTTTGAATTTTGAATTAATGTTGATTTCAGAATGATTCTAAGAAACTATTTACCTGGAATTACAACGTCGATAAAAAGAATGTGGAAACAAATCCGGAATATATCCGGCGCCATATTGTGATGTCATAGCTGTCAATTCAAACCAAATAGGTAGTGAGCAAAAAAGTGTTTTTTAATAAGTGAGAAAAAGCGTCAGATTTTTTAATAACATTTATTTACTAAGATAGAGAAAAAGACACCAAATTTTAATAATATTTATTTATTAAGACTGCCAGAAAAAAACATTAATAAGAATGTAGCTCTTCTATTCCGCACATCTCTGCATTACCGCTGGAGTAGTTATGAATAATCATGCACTATTACTAGGTCACATACGAACATGCATCCTTTATGTAAACGAAAGTTTGAAATCGAGTTTCTGATCGCAACTTAAAGTGACATTTGGTTGACGATTTAGGTTATCAACCATTCATGGCCAAAGCTCAATAAGTGAAAAAAAAATATCAACCGATATTAATTATCAATATTTGTTATTTTTTGTTTACAAATGTTTGGTTTTTATTCTTGAATTAGCGGAGTGCTAAAAAAGGGTTCCAAGATTTTTTTTGCAAACCGTACTTTTCAAGCGACATTCGACAGATAGAGGTCATTGGCTTTCCTATTCTTATTTGAATCGCATTATATATTTATCGCCCAAAATATATTTATAAATATTTACAATTACAATTCAATTTACCGAAATTGTATTGTTGTGATAGGATAGACGAGGATGGACGGGGGGTTACCTAGCCTAGGTGTAAACTTGTAATCGGGCGCTTTTTTGCCTATTCTTCTAGGAAGTTCTAGTATTTAACATAAGAAATCAATGTGTAACTATCTGACATAGCGAACATCGCATCAGCATTTTTTCAGTTCGATTATTTCAAAATTTACTTTTATACAAAAATTATCCCGGCTATATCGTACGCAAAAAAGTACTATCTATCCAATTTGTTTTGTCAGGAAGTATATACGCGTAATACATTCCGGTAATTTTATTAACAACTCTATGCTTTATCGGTGGTGATAGAAGTTTAGCTAATTAAGCGCCCGTCTAGCCTATAACTAATAAATAAATATGACAGTAAAAAAATCAAATAATGCATAAACCATTTACTATTGTAAAATATTCTACATAACATTATTCACTACATATAAATGTAGTCTTGATAATTTATTACATATTTACACTGACAACTTCCTTGTGATATAATAAAGTAAGTTTATTGTTCTACATGTTTCGACTTCCCAACAATAGATGGCGCTCTATACCACATTACTATTAAAATAAATGTTGCTAATAAAAAAATGCCTGAAAAATCAATCTTTATTCCATATTATATTATGCAATTCAAAGAGAATACACCTTTCGCTCTTGCAAACACTTCAATGTAGTAATTAATATAAAACAGAATATTATTCTCTTAAAGGAGAGTTGTAAACAATTAAAATAGTCACAAGATTTTAAGTTTGGTAATTTTTATCACAGCCAACATGACACACTAAGTATATTTGTGTTAAAATATTTCAATATTCGATTAATGACAAAAGTTTAATGTGAAATTAGTCAAATAAGCAACTATACATAAGCGCCATCAACAAAACGGAAACCATAACCATTTTAAGTTTAAAATAAGATTCCCATAGAACATACTTAAATTCAACAAATTTCATAGATACCTACAAATTGTAAGTTACAATAGAAGTTCCATTCTAGAGGGGCACTTTTCAGTCTACAATCATTGGATTTTAATGAAGTTTAATTACAAAGGAAATGCAATGACATTGTAAAATCAATTCATTTTTGGACTATTTTATTTTTAGGGGATATTTTGAGGGTAGCAACACCTCATCAACGTACAAACATCGACAAGTCAAGCTAACCAAAAATCTAAATTTTCACTTTGAGCTAAATGAAATGATCAAATTTTACAATAACAATTGAAAGATTTGATACTTTGTACACTTTGTAGTAACTTGATATATACCCGCAATCCATTTTGAACTTTTAACAGAAAAAAAGAGGTTATAAAACAATTCTATTGTTCGACAATCGGCGTCCAATCAAATCGCGTTCAACACATATAGATGAAATTGCCTTAAGAAAAATCATGTAAGTTCACAAAAATACATTAAAATAACACAAAACTGAGTAGACAAGAAAATCTCAATAATAGGTATAATATAATAGGAACCGGCCAAAACTTAATTTTCTATATGACATTAGTAAACAAGAAAGTTACGGTGTTACCGCAAAAAAGTTACTCGAGCGTCCAACACGACTTTTAGCAGAAAATGTATTACACAATTTACATAAACATGGTTTAAAACAGTGTCTTAATTTTCTGTAATACCGTTAACTGTTAAGCTGTTTATTTTTTTAATTATACTTCAATTCTCAAATACCTACATAATATCATAAAATCATAAAATAACACAATGAATCAAAGCGAAATACGCCAGTGTCAACGCAACTTTAAAGTGCATTAAGTAAAACTATAAAAGGATAAATGACAATGTTAAAATCCGGTGGACTTTTCAATCTAAAATTATCTCCAAATATTTAACAATTCAGTCTTAACCATTCCCCTGGTCTTACATAACTTTTCATCAATACAATATTCAGATGCGCGTGTTCACCTTACAGCTATCTACACTCGAATATAGATAACTTTGTTGCGTAATGGTTTAATTTTTTACTTTCACTCAATGATTATTATATTGGAAAAGTTTGTAACGCCATCCACACGTTGATCCCATAAATTCATCCGCTCCACTCTGCCGACCGGCACATGTCCTCCAGGAGTTTGTCAAATTCCAATACAGAATTCTCGTAAAGTTCCAGATCTTTTGATAGGTCTTCGTTCGTTCCTTCGAGCTCGTCTTCTTTTAGCGACTCGCTGTCTTTCGACTTTGCGATCATATCTTCGGACAGTTTCAAATGAGGAGCGTTAAAGAAGTCTTTATAAAACTCAGCCAGTTCTCTTATTGGATGGTGGTCGGCGAAAGGGAAATAGAGCAATTTCAGCGGTGGCTCGTTCTCGCTTCGAAAACCAGAAAACTTTTTAGGTGGCGACTCGTAAGAGGTCGGGCTCTTGGACATTATATCGACGTCCAAGTCTTGTGTACTTTTCGACTCTACTTCGATCTCTTTGGGTTGGAATTTCTGTCGGAAGCGTATATTGCATTTCGGTATAGGGATCTTTGAGAGGAACTCTTCGAAGGCTCGTTGCACAAGGGCCTCATCTACGAACGCAGCGAATCGTAACGGTTTATTCAAATCGATCGATCTCAGAGGCCTGTAGTCCTTCTCCCTCTGCTCTTTTGGTTTTTTCGAATCAAATATCACATGCTTGGGACTCAATTCAAAATGGTCACTTTTCAGTATCAAATCCTTATTGTTTTCTGTTCTATTTGGTGATATGGAGAAATTTGTGCGATACTGTACAGAGAAACAGATTCCACCTAACGGAGTTTTCAGTAGACCTGCTTGTATTGTCTTAACGTTCTCTCCCAAAGCTTTGATCTTCGGTTCGCCGTTGTAAACTCTGTAAAATATGGTAAATGACTCTGAGCGCTGTTTGCGGGACAGATGATATGCGGGTGTTATTCTGGTGATGGTTATGAGAGATTTTAGAAGTATTCCCATTCGGAAATACGCTGTATTCATAGCCTTTAATGAAGTGTCAAATTGTGTTTCGTCGAGTACTAATGTCCAAAGTTCTAAGACCATTTCGTCTCCGTCTTCTGTCTGGACTGATATTTCGACGTGTAATTGAGATCTGATGGTTTCCAACACTCTGTCGGATGGCAGTGCATTCTTCGTAGCCTGATTGACTTCGGGCGAATCCGGTATTTGTAAGTTGAACCAGTCGGAATCGTTGGAGATTGGCTTGCTGTACGGTTCTATCTTGACTCCTTTCCTGGACTCCACTATCACTTGTACGCCTTTGTACGCGAGGAACTTCGCAAACTTTGTGAACTCGATTTTGTCACTGATGTTAGAGAATGCGACGTCGGGTGCCATTGTTACTGTTACTAATAGAAGATAACACGTATATTCACATTGAAAGAAACTACAGTTTGTTCGATTTGTTTAATGTATCGCAGATAGGTTATTCCTCATCAGCGATGCAGTTCTCCACGAGGTTTCTTAAGTTAGGATTCTCCATTGCAGCAGCAATCCTTTCCTTGTCATTGATCTGTTTATTGACTGAAACAAAAGAAAATTGATATTTATAATACTATAAACACAAATAAAAACGGGTTCGGTTAAGTATAAAACTGAAATTATTTTATTGAATTTTAATGTACTTTTATCACGATGCTCTGACAGAAAATAGTAGGACAGAGAAATTTATTATTTATTGTATTACAAAGAAATCTTGTTCACATTCAAAGGCATATTATCATAATGATAGAAGTATCATCTGTTCCATTGTTGTTTAATTTTATGACTTTGTTACTATGTAGCCAAACGATATCGTATCGTCATAATGTGCAAACTAGGTGTTGTGTTTCAATTCAGTTGCAGGTGATTTTATTTATAAACATTGACTCAGTCAATAACCTTATTTGATAAATATTATAATAGCAACGGTATTACGGTTGATAAGCACTGCAAATATTATGAATTATTCATCATCATTATGTGTTATTATTTTATTTGATTAGATGGGGTTTTGCTAAACTTTAGTCACAATGAAGTCCATTGTTAGTGCTTAGCAATTGATAGAAGAAAATCATGATTGACAATCAGCCAATCAAAATACATAGGAAATATTTTTGCTTCTGATCCACCAACGACGTATCGATGTGATCCACTGTGCTAATAGTTATAGGAAATCTTAAAAACCTATTAGCCGAAAATACACTTTCGGTTACGCTTTTAAGTGGAATGGTTAATAAAATATCATAAACACGTTGCAGGTAAATGTTTTACGGACCACATCGTTCTAATAGCGCCATTTCCACCCTGACAGGCGTAGTTAAGTCATCGTTATCAGACAAATGTTTTTCCATACTTCAGCAGGACCGTGTAAAGATTCATTTACTTTTGTTTTTAATTGTTCCTTGAAGATCTGGCAACAGGCAGCCCAGATCTTCATTTTCAAAGCTCCGTCTTTGTATTTCTCTCAAAGGCAGGTCAACTTCAGCTTTAAATTCAACATTATTGATAATAAAATCAGGCAACTTCATGTATCATTTGGAAAGCTAGTGGACCCGATGGCATCACAACAATTGTATAGCGGAGTTGCCTCCCGTGCTTACGCCAATGTACCAACTCTCGTACTCTTTGGGGTGTGTGGGGAGGACCGCTCAGGCCCGGCCAACTATCAATCAGCCGTTTGCTGTCACCTCAATATTGCGCAAACTCTTAGAAAAGTAATATAACTTATTTACGGGATTGTTGCCATATACCTTGTTTCTAGCGAGTTTCCGATATTTCGGCACTGTTGCGCCATGATCACGGAGTAACATGATCATGTTACTCTACAATCCCGTAAATAACTTATGTCACTATAATGTTAATGACCATGAAAGTTTAAAACAATATGCTTTTAGAAAAGGTACTTAATAACAATCTGACGCGCTACCTAGAGGACCACTGTCTGATTAACGATGGTCAATACGAATTTTGGGCGAAAGCATCGACGGATGACCTTTTAGCATACGTGATACAATAGAGTTGAACCTATTGACAAGCGGGGTAAGTCTTTGGCGATCAGCTTTGATATCGTTAAGGCTTTCGACCGGGTCTGGCACAAAAGACTTCTCTATGAAGTTTTTTCATATGGTCTACCTGCTCAGATATGGAGCCCTACTCTAATTCAACGAAAAACGAAATTTCGATCGAAACTTCACACTTTTCTTACTATGTTTCTGGTTCGTTTTTAATTATAATAATATTCGTCGCCGGAATATAGATTTAGGTGTAGATTTTCTAAGCCTACACAAAGAATGCTTCAATTTGATAGTTTATCGTTCTAATTAAGTATAACCTTAAATTGACGAAATCAGATTTCGTTTGAACTTCGTTTTCGAATGTTCGTTTCGCAGAAAGAGAGTAGACCCCCTGTACCCGGGTGAGCGTAGAATTCGCGTCCTTAAGGACGGATTTAGTTGGCAGTTCATGTCAGTGAATGCCAGTGTACCTCAGGGCGCCATCCTATCCCCCACACTATTTCTGCTGCACATAAATATTTTATTTCGTATTGTGAATACTCATTGTTATTTCGGACACGCAGCGGCTTGACGGGTAGGTTTTCCTCCACCAAATAAAAACGGAAGAATCTTGTTATTGATTTTAATCAATCTTTGAACCACATTGTGGTCCTGCGTGGAATATTGCTCGCACCTCTGTGATGGATCCGCCAAATAGGTACTTACTCGATGCTTTTAATAAGTTGTAGCTTCGCCCTGCATCATTGGCGATGTAAAGGTAACTAACAACCTTAAGGCGCTTTGCAGACGACGGGGCGGGGCGGGCTTTTTGTCCGCGAAGCAATAAAACCGCGTCTGCCCGTCGATGTCTGCGGCTGCTCTCGCCGCGTACACAAAGTACACGATGGGCAGAGGCAGTCAGTTCAGGACGTTCGTTCTAGTGAATAGTCCATCACTAAAAGCGCGTGGCGCGGTTTGAGCTAGCCGCCCCGCGCCGCCGTCTGCGTTACTGCATATAAACTGGTTTGTATGATCCACGACGGGCAGCCGCGGACATGCCGCGCCGCCAGTGCCCGCCGGGCACCTGCGGCGCGGTCTTATTGCCCTCTGTGTGCGTTTGTAATATAGGATTCACTTTGTGCTATCGTTCGCGGCGAAATTGACCGGCCCGCTCCGCCCCGCCGTTTGCAAAGCGTCTTATGGGCCTACCGCATGTACGAGCTTCACCACAGTTTTGCCTGCGCAGGCCGGTTTGTACACGGAACACGGTGCGTGTAGTTGGTAAAACTGTATCACGCGCCAACCCCACAGCGCGGCCTGCGCAATTTTCGACTTGCTTGAAATTTTGCCTGCGCAAGCCCGGCCTGCGCGTACTTGTCTGTGCGTGTGGTTGGGCGTTCAGTGTTCAAGCCACAGTCGAGTGTACTTTGTGTCGAGGCTCGCTCGTCGTTTCATGAGGTCGTTCGTCATCGTCACACAAAAATGGTAGATTTGCGTACGTACAATCGCGAATTCACGTCTGAATTAATTAGTTAATACAAATCTCTGCCTGCACTCTGGAAAATTAAATCTAAAGATTATTCCGACCGAAATAAAAAGAACGACGACTACGAAAGAATGATAAATAAAATGAAAGAGGTAAAAACATAATTTTTGCAACTAAATACCTATGCCTAATACCTACTACCTACCTACTTGCACATATTATGTACATATCCTATCGTTTTTACATGTTTTTTTTAATAGCAAACACTTGAAACATAGTAGCATAAGAAATGTTTCTTCATTAGAAAACATTGTTTCCGCGCCAATGATTTCGATAAGAATGAGGCTTGCGCGTACTTAACTGTGCCGTGTGGTAACGCACAAAGTGTACAGTTTTTTCGTGCGAGATGCTTGCGCAGGCCAAACTATGGTGAAGCTTGTGCGTGTGGTAAGCGTATTAGTCTCTCTCTACAATTATGCCGCGATGTGGCATAATTAACCTTATTCTATCGACTATACCATGGCGAGTATTCAAAGGAGTTATTCTCCCACCTTATCCCAAAACTTCGCCTTTCCTTCACCCCACGCGCCTATGGTACCACTGGCTTGCCGTGACAACGATTCCTATACGAATAAATATATTGGTGACTCGTTTCATTATCATACTAATCGAAGCAAGTAGAATTCTTTGCGCACGTGTACCTTTCTTCTTACAATCTGGGATACGTTAAGCGAGGCGCGAAGAAGCATTTGTGCAGGACGGCAAGGTGACTATGGTTGACGTCGCAATTCTTAACTGCTGCATTTGCTATCTTCGCGTCTGGACTTTACCACCACTAAATATCAGGTGGCGTAGAGTAATTTATCTACCCAACACAGAAAAAATCATTTGTCTCCGCAGAAATCATCTCATTGATTTTACTGTTTCTCAATTACTATAATTTAACTTATTTATTCGTCGAGATAATATTTGCGAAGCGCGTCACGTTACGAAATAGGGTCTAGTACCCATTGGACCCTCCTAATTGAACCTTACCTACAAAAAAGTGCCCGTTCGACCTCCTATCAAGAACATGGTGCCCATTGGACCCTCAAAGACGTACTTAACGACACAATGGGAGCTATTGGAGCTCTTAACTATTTGGCTAATTCTTTTGGAACGGTAAAAGTACAGTCGTGTAGTAAAGTAACATTGTAAAAGACATAAAAACACAAAGGTTATAAATCTAAGTATATAATCAACATATTTATAAAATTCAAAATACTAATCATCAGTAACAAACCAATATAAATATTTATATAAAATATAATAATAAAATCACAGATTTTTTACTTTACTTTTAAAGCCAATAGAAATTATTTTTTATCAAATAGCTTAACTAAATTATAAATATGGTTTGTTATATCACACAGATTAAGCACAATTATTATATATTCTAAATATTGATAAAATAAATAAAAGCGCAAAGGTTATAAATGTAAGTATTTAAAATCAACATATTTATAAAATTCGAAACATCAATCATCAGCAACAAACCATATAATATAATAATCAAATCACAGATTTTGTTATTTTACTTTTAAATAGAAATGTTTTTTTTATCAGATATCTTAACTGAATTATACATACAGTTTTTATATCACTTAGATTAACTATTGAAGCATAATTATTATGTATTCTAAATATTCATAAAATAAAATACCAATGTAATATTTTCATATTCCATTTTATAAAAAAATGTTTTCTAATCATATTTTTACAATTAACGAGAAATTACTTATTATAAAAACATACTTTAACTAAGGGATATGGTTTAAAAGCGGTAGTCGGTTTCCGGCAGGGACGAAATATATATAATTTGAAAATTTGTATAACATGAATAGATACTTTGATTTTTTTATTCATTACCGATTAATTTAAAATCGTGTTTAATAATTAAACAATTTTGTAAGTATGCTGGTCACCCTATCTTAGTAACGTCATATTTTTAGTGCGTGGTGGCTTATAACGTCAACTCAATCACTTTTTATCAGAATTATTATCACTGCTTTTGTTACACATTGAACATAATATATTTGATGCTTGGCTACAAAAAATAGATAAATAAACTTGCCATTTGCAAATCAATTATTTATTAATTATTATAGATTTATGTTATTTTAATATAAAAAACCGGAATAAAATAAAATTCTAGTTTTTTAAAGCCGAAAGACCCACTACCAACCTCCATAAAAAATATTAAATTTTTTACTTCTTCGTCTTCTTTTGTAAAACATTATAAATTTATTTATTATAAATTACCAAATTAAATATTTAAGACACATATGTGAGTACTTTTTCTAAGCAATAGCCTACGGTTGTAAGATTATTTTCTAGCTGCAACATAGGTCATAAATCTGAACGAGAAAGCAATATTTCTCTCTCTCCCACATATGAGATCGGCGCCATCCTTTTGTTTAAGCGCAGGGATTGCTTGGGCTTGGAATCTATGTATAACCTTCCTTTCATCAGGTGCTTAAGAGCAGTATAACTGCCGATAAAAACACTTAATCTCCCTCAGAATTTCAGTCTTAGATCAAAAGATGATGTCTTTGCAAAATCCACCGTCATGTTGCTTAGATTGTCTAGATCTAAGCTGTTTTAAGGAACTTTGAATCAATCGAACTTTGTTCGATTTGAAAGGTCTTGTGGATTTGGTGTTGCGCTGTAAGGGTATTTATTCGTCAGTGTACGATCGCCCTATTGAGTGAAACCTTTTTACAGTAATGATCATTAATTTAATTAAATTTAAAATTAATGTAATTAATGATCATTCCTTTAAACCTAAGGCACAAACATATATAATGTCAAATGTAAAATAAATAGATATTAAAGTATTATAACACTGGCACCATTATAACCCATAGAATAAAAATACATGTCAGTAGTGCAATATTTGGTTTTGGCTCCTTGTCAATACGAATAAAATAAAAATAAACATTATACAAATTAAATTTTGATTACTTTTGATTCACTTTTTATTTTCTAAATATCTCCCTTATATCTTATTGTACGAGTATCTTACTAAAAACTCCAAATGTGTTAAAAATTAGCTTTTCTTAAAGGTTACTATCATCTGTCTGCGTCCAGTATTTATAGAGCAATAAACAAAAAACATTTTTTTTTATTTTCCTGAAAACTTACATTTTTGTAGTTATCTTTTTATTCTCCGGGGACGGCGAAATATCGTTAATTCGAAGAAAAAAGGTAACCTGATTTCTTTATAATTTGTTTACGAGTACTTACTGTTTAGAGTAAGTACTTATACAGTATTTAGTTAGTGGCTTTATAATACCTACTATTAAATTTATTTTTGTCTGCAATTTTCTGCATGACTGTACTGTGCTTAACAAAACTGTCAATAAGGTCCAACTGGCAGTAGGGTATAATCTTGGGCACTTAAAAGAGGTCCAATGGGCACATTGAACATAATTTTTTTAAGGAGGTCCAATGGGCACCAAAAAAGAGGTCCAATGGGCACATTGAATATAAAATGTTTTAAGAAGGTCCAATGGACACCAAAAAAGAGGTCCAATGGGCACTTTTTGCTTTTGGGTCAAATCTTGAGGGTCCAATGGGTACTAGACCCGAAATAGTAGCATACACAATATGCACACATACACACAATTCTAACGCTTTGGCAACGTAAAACGCTCACGCAAAATCAGATACATGCATGTTCTGAACACCACATTGTAAGTTGCTGTTCGGATATTCTTTCCAAGATAAAAAATAAAGTTAGTATTCGAAATGTAAAAAATACAGAATAAATATACAGATGATATTCGAATAGTAAATGTGGCGAATATCTGAATAATATGGATATGCATGCCCGGATCCGCATGCCCTAGACCAGAGGTTTCCATACTTTTTGTGTCGTTGACCCTTTGCATGTTTTTAAGTTTTGGGTAGACCCCTACTTACCTGATATTGATTTTTTGTAAATTTCTATCTGGAGGGAAGTTAGTGAAACAAGATGATACTGGTTTATCATTATGTGCAGGTTTATACAACTTCAAAATGTATTGCGACCACAAAGCGAATGCCTACATCTTACAACTTACAAAATTTTATAAACATATATATAATATTTTTTATTATTTCATAAGTACTTTTATAAATAATATATATGTCTTTTTAATAAGAGATAGCATAATGTAAGTAAATAAGTACTATCAGTGTATGTTGAGATCCATTATCGTGGACCCCCAAATTTTTTTTTCGCTGACGTAGACCCCTCGCTGTCTCGGCAGCGCCATGATATGGTCATGGCAATAGGAAGGGATCTCTCGTTGCCCAGCGTCGTTAAAGCGATGCTGGACAACGACAGATCCTGGAC